TTGGACACTAAAACTGGGATCTAAGCGTGAGTGAATAGTCATTGTGACTGTGAACCTTGAAGCAAAAGAGCTTCTCTCGCCGCCTAAACCAGATATTACCGATTTCGTCGGTTTCTTCCTTAGTCCAAGTAGCTGCACTGCTGATTCTGCTATGAATGAAGCCTGAGATCCTTGATCTAACAGCACTCTCAGCAGTTGTGTAGAACCACTTCTTGTCTGTGCTTCGACAAGAGCGGTAGCCAACAAAACTTGAGTAGGAACTGACCCTTTAGAAAAATGCGAAACTATGTTAGAAGTCGATGGATCGCCTTCCAATAACGATGCCTTAACATTTGACACGGCTGATTTAACTAATTCAACTGTATTTGAGCCCTTACTAGCTTCGGTGGAGTTTGACATCGAAGGATGAAGCAGTGAATGATGCCTACGTTTGCAAATACGACACGACGAAGTTTGTCTACAAAACTTAATGGAGTGGTTTGAATTTAAACAATTATAACACAAGCGCCTGGTTTGTGCAAAGCTATGACGAGTTTCATAACTTTCTTGTGCAAACTTTTTACAATTTGCTATTTTGTGACTTTCATTACAAAATAGACAACTGTCACTAGATTTGTTGTCACTAATTACATGGTGAACCTTAGGTTTTGGCTTATTGACCTTGGTGTCTAAAAATTCGAGAGCACGAAATCTGGATTCTAAAAAATCTCTGAACTCTGAAAGCACTGGTAACTCGTCACTTGAGCAAATTTTAGTCTCCCATTGCTTTCGAGATTCAGGATCAAGTTTCGAGCTAACAATGTAAATAACAATAGTATCCCAAGTACTGACGTCAACACCGAGATTTTTTAAACCATTTATGCATTCCATTGTGGTATCCAATAAGTTTTTAACACTAGTTGCACATTCTACTATATTGTTTTGACTTAGTAATCGTTTTAACAAACTGTTAGACAAAAATCGCTTATTATTGTATCTGCTATGTAACAAAGACCAACATTCCTCATAATTGTCGGAGGAGACCGCAACATGCCTGACCAGCTGCTCGGCCTCTCCGGACAATAAACCTTTTAAATAGTGCATTTTTTGCACGTTTTCTAAATTTGAATTATTGTGTATCAACGTTGTAAATAAATCTCTGAATGTTGTCCATTCAGTATAACTACCCGAAAACTTAGGAATATTGATTTTTGGTAATCTAACATTTGTGGTTGCGTGATCAAAATTTGTCTTTGTACCTTTTTCGTCACTATAATTATTGCAAAATTTATTCAAACTTTCCTTTAATTGACATTTATGATATATGTATGTTTCTTCAGTGGTATCATAAATATCATCTATAAAATATTTATCACATTTTTCTTGAGTGTCTGTAGCACTCTGAATTATATTTCTATGTGTGGCTACAAAGTCTTTCCACAAATTTTCTAAAGATTCAAGTCTAGTTTCTACATAATTTTTACTGATTCTATCCTTAGGGGCCTTTTTGAAATTAATCTGTGCTTTTTCTATGAGATTTTTAGTGTTATTTTGTAATTTATATAAAGCCTCCATGTTTCTTTAAATCCTACTAAAAAAATCTACCAAACTACTAATTTTTCTACCAAAGACAATTATTGATCGCAAACCGTTAAAGTAAAATTTTATAACGATTACAATTCTATTGACACACGATATCACAAACAATTAATGAATAAGTAGTTAGAAATGATAAGTAATTAATAATGAAAGTTCAAATAATACACACAATAAATTTTTAAAAGTTCAGATAAATTCTTCTCAGATGTAATTTTCTGATATGTTCAGAAACTCGACTGCCAGTATAAAATAACAATAATGTACTCACGATTTTTCTTCGACAAACCGCACTATGCACTATCACTTTACTGACGTACTGCTTCTCCTGGGTGTGGGATGCCCAGGTGAAAAAACTCCACTCTCGCGCAGACGGACTCGTTCCGCCCTGCGCCTCACACAGCTGATGCCGTATGATGATTCCTCCGCCCTGCGCCGTACTCCTGGTGCTGGTGCTCGCCAACTCTGCTGCTGCAGCACTGCTCACCACTCACTGTGCACACCAGCTTGGGTATGCGGCGCTTCAGGGCAATCCACCCTGGTTTCCACGCCAAGATTCACTTCACCACACTACTGGAACTCACTAGCACTCATCACTTATAATCCGGTAAATCCGGTTCGATAGGACCATGTACTTTTATTTTCGCGCACTGGGGTAAGTGAGAGAAACACTAAGAGTTCATGTAGGTACATATATTTCTAATCAATGTCAAACTCAAAATAATACAAAAATTTCGAACGGGGTAGGTGTTTCGTCGGAGAATCTTAACACCGCGATGTAGATTTGTGACGTATTTTAACAACGCCATCTAGTTCGTGCGGCGGAACTATTTAACTACAAACACCACTTGTTTTGTTTTTTAATTCATTCGGCTATGTCTATATCAAAATATTTAAAATCGTTACTTTTGCGTGATGAGTATTTCATAATTCGTATGCGGCGCTTTCAAATTCAAAGATAGATAAGTATCGAGAAGTTTTTGTCAATGAATATTATGAAACGGTTCCTCGGCGTGGCAACCGGTATTACGTGTATACCACTAAGTTAGGTAATAATTTACTGAATGAACGCCGTCGTGAGAACAACACATAAGTAGCGACTATTCGAAGCATTACTATCTGTGCAGTGACTGGCTTAAATCTAAAGCCATGTACAATACATTTATGTTATTGGACAAGTAGGTATTTGATGTAATTTCAATTAGAGATTGTCTTGTTCTAAAAGGTTTTATCAGGCCTATGTTAGGAAAGTCATTATAGGTGTAGCATAGCTTTATATTTATATTAAGTCCATAAGTAGAATAGATTACAGTTGTTATTAAGTAGTTGTACCATTCCTTTTTGACATAAATGTGTTCTATCAAATAGCACACAAACATTAATTGGGCCGTAAATTATTGTTTGCATCATAGAAACATGAATAATTGCTTCACTTAGAAAAGATTTTGTATGTGGCATTTACCTTACAGCATCAGTCATTATTTTCCTATGAAAATTATTTTATTTTAAGTAGTTATTCAGTAATTCCCACCCAACCAGCCTATCTGGAAGTATCTGATATGATAATGATAAATTCAAAGCAATAATTTACACAAATATCTTTTATTCACAGTACTTGTTATTTTCGATTTCAAAGTTGTATGGGTATGCCATCATTGCCATCCCATTTAATGGCTATTTTTTGAACTAATGATTTTATCTTGCAGTATAAATTGATTTGATTTACCTATTTACAATTTAATACCTATAAAAGGGATTTTCTTTTAATAGTGTAAAAAAGCCTTTTTAAAGTGTTGTTCCTGAATGGAAAATACATTGTTTCTATTAATATAAATAGTTTCTATTAGCTCTAATGTCATCATTTTACAATAGGTGAGCACCTACTTTAATACTGCATTAATACTGACTTTTTAATCTAGTTTCATTTCTTTCTAGCTTATGTGAAAAAAGATACCCCTATTTTAATTGGGCATAAACAAAATATAATGTTACAATTCATATTCATGTAGAAATCATACAGAATTATAATTTAATAATTAAAATTAACTCGTCGAGTACCATATTTATAGACACAATTAACTCGTCGAGTACCGTATTTATAGACACAATTAAAGAACAATAGGTCGTGGTCACCGGTGACCCCTTGGTGTTTGACAGTTTAAAGAACAATAGGTTGCGGTCACCGGTGACCGCTTGGTGTTTGACAGTTTAAATACAAAAAAAGCATTGTACAGTATAAATTTGTTACATGCCTGAACTGAACAAAATGAGAAAACCATATAACAACTCTTAATATTGGTAATATTTCTACTATCATAATTATATGTACTCTAAGGTATATAACATAACATCACACCTTTTATTCCCGAAGGGGTAGGCAGAGCAGTAACACCCACTTTTCACTATTTATAATATGAGTCCCAGGTAATAGGGGTGAGCCTATTGCCAATTATACTGGGCACAATTCCAGACTCCGTACTACTACTCGGATTTTTAAAACCTAAGGTAAAACTTGACATAATAGAAATCAATTAAGTAATATAACATGGTGAATTATTGAGACATGTTTTTGGCCACTTATAGTATTAACTTGGCACTAGGCATACAAAGTGTAGGGTTCAGGCAGCACTGGGCCTTCGTTCCACAGTAAGCTATTGGAGGCCTATGTCCACCAGAGCACAACAAGATAGATGTATTACATTAAGAGGTAACGGAGTAGATAACGGAAAGCTTAATTTTTGTTTCAGAAGGTTGTTATGTTCTACAATTTATAGAATAGAATTGATGAATAATATTTAGTCCAATGTGCTCATTCATAGCACAATAAACAATATTGAAATGTTTGATTATAATTAATTTAAGGTATCCACTTTCAATGGAATACCTTTTGCCTTTATAAAGTCTGTCACTAAAACAATCTTAGTACTAAAAGCATTCTCAAGGGTTAATATTTCAATTAAATTACTACAACTACCCATCACATGAAAAGTACAGACATAATCTCGTCCAATCATTTACGAACTACATGTTACTAATTTCCCCAAAAAATGATAGCATTGGCATGTGAATCAATTATTTCATATCTCAGATAATGGAAGATAATACAAAATTAATGTAAATCATCAGACTGGGATGATAAGGAATTATTTTGTAGCTTAAGTAGAATATGAATGAATGTAAACACAACTAGCAGAGCACATAGTATCAACATGCATGTGAATAATGTTTCCATATAAGGTGTGAATGTGTAAAGTGAAACGGGCAGGCAGTGTGGTTACTGTATCATGTAAATATTTAGTGTAGGAAGGTGCAGATTTTAGGTGAAAACCATAAGACAGAAATCTGTCCTGCTGTCCAATATCTATGAAGTAGACGAGATCCCACTAATGTAAGACTAGTTAGGTAAAACAAGGAGTCAATCATACCTTCAAGGCAGACGACCTGCACGCCATCTTGCTTTAGTCTCCGTAGCAGGATTCCATGAACAGAGTCGGGGTCCCGTGGAACTCCGTCTCCGTACAACACGAATATGCCTCGTGTACGGCAATGCGTGATCCTTGCCTTTAACTCCTTACACTGAACTGTGGACACGAGCTCGATCTTCCCCGCCGCCAACCGTCGCAACATAATACTTGGTATCGAAAAGTTCACTGCGGAGCGGATGTGAGATATTGAGTACTCATTGGAACCGCGACAGTCTATGAGCACCGTATCCCTCTCGTCGGACCGCAACTTCGCCAACAACCACTCCTTCGACACCAGGTCGCACTCGCATTCAGAATCCGTAGGCATGTTGTAATTACAACGTCCCCCTATGTTTACACGAGCCCTTTGCGACTTACAATCGCCTGTTGCACTAATACATGTAAATCTTACAAATTGAGTTCATAAACACCGTCATTATTATTACACTAGTTAATAAAGAATCCGAACTAACTATATTATAAACTGAAGAAAGCCATTTAGAATAAACACAACAGTAATATAACGTCTATCGCAGGCGATCCAGGCGCTTGACTTGACGGTGAAGCAAAACGCAACAACGACCGAACCGAACGAACAAGCGGGAGGGTGTGAAGGGTTGAGGGGTAAGGTGGGCCGTGAGGGAAATGAACAAGAACAACGAGCGCACGAAGCGTCCGTCGAGTCGGCGCTTATGTCGGTCTCGCTCTCGCTCAAGCAAGTCGCAACAATAATTATTCAACATACGAAAATCGAATAATCGGCTACGTTAGTAACTTTTTTGACGGATAGGTTAGTCGAATTAATTAATTATTATTTGCCAGATCAGTATTATTAAAAATATTACAAAAAAGTAGCTATATAAGTCAAAATGTTTTTATTTTTAGTAATTTTAAGATTATGAAAATAACAAAATAAACAAACTTGTAATATATGTTTATGTTGTTGTAAACTAAAACAACTTGTCTATTTTTTAAATAAATCTACTGTACTGTTTTGATGATGTGTAACGAAACCTTATCAACTATCATGCTATGCCCATGAGTTTACTTAAAATACAATGAACAAAAATAATAAACAAATAAAATCAACTGAATTTTTCATAATATACATAAGTAAGTATTTGTAAAATCAACAGAGGACGGATTTAAAATTCCGAAAACTATATTTTATACAATTCCCAAATACCTAGTTACGGATTTTATACACATGATTGTCATATATTTCCGGTAACATACACATAAAAATTATAGTAAAAATGGATATTTAATAATAAATATTGTCAATTTATTCCTAAAACACGCTTATCTCCATGTAGGTACAACTTAATAATGTCCTTTATTTCAAATGCCGACCTGAGTCCGGCTAGGTTTAAGCTATTTTGCGCATGTTTTTTTTGCCTTTACAAATTTTGGCTAATGTTCGGTCTGATTCTTCTTGTATATCTGTGCTCATAACATATTGTAGGTGCAGAGTAGAGATACATGAATTTTCAGACAAGTACTATAAATGGACAAATACTGGGTAAATACAGGATATTTGTTAATCTCTTTGATAAACAAGCGAGTAAAGACGTATTAATACTCAGAATTTACTCGTTATTTATCCTTTCGGAGGATATATCCGAAAAATAGCCCATCTTTAATGTACTGCAATGTGTTAAATTTTTTTAAGGGAAGTTGTATTAATAATTAGTCGATTGTAAGTTTTTACTAAATCAAAACCTATGGACCTTAATTTTTTATCTGTGATTTTGTGTCAAAATATTTTTGATTAAGTGTTGTCAGTCAGTGTTACAAAAGTCAAACGTTTCTGTTATTGCGACGAATTGCGGGTGTATTAATTTCCCAGCTTTATTTTAAATTAATTAATTACTTGTGAATTTATAAAACATACTTTTGTTTTAAGATCACTTATTGCTTTGTCGTTTTTTGTAATGGAGGCTTTGTACGACGATTTAAGCAACTACGAAGACGTAAACTCCGTAGTGGAGGTATTGTAATTTAGCGCCAAAATTTCCTGTCAAACCATTATCTTGTATAAATTAGGATATTAATAAAATAAAGAAATTTTAGATGAATAATCTAGATGCGGAATTCTAATAAGTTATTAATTGGAGCAATTTTGTCAATTTACAGCTACGAGAGGAGAACAAGGAACTGAAAGTTAAGTTACAAGAACATGCTGCTGCTATGGAAAAGCTTCAAAAAGTAAGTACCTTTAGGGTATACCGTAAACATTATTTACACGTAAATTACTAAACTGTGCATTGGGTATCTTATTTCCTAAAAATATAGTGTACACAAGAACTAACATTTGAATAAAGCGTCTAATATCGCTGATTTTTGTAATTTGATCCCTTGCTGGTAATCAAACCTTCATGTTACACAAGCGAACGTTTAAGGGAGTCGTAATCGACTAGTGTGACTAATAATATAATTCAAACTTCTATTATAATGTTATTAAGTTATTAGGTACCGTTAGTTACAAGTATATTTCTATTTAGTATGTCACATGAATGGGTATCACGTTAGAGTCCAGGATATTTTGCAGGATTATGACAAGCTTGAGTTGGAGTTCAAGATGTTGGAACATAACTACTCATCCTTGTTGAAGACTGCTCGCTCGGAAATAGAGAGGAAAACTAAAATGATATCTGAATTGAATAAGGAGTAAGTATACTCATTTTATCATGTATTATTATGAAATGAAAGGAAAAGGATATTTCACCTATTATTTTTTTGCTAATGTTGATTAATGTAACCTCTTTGAACAATAATTAATAATGAAACCTATTTATTATTATCTAATCTTCACTACATTAGGAAGTATCCACTGTTAAATGGCCCATATTTATTAATTTGATGTATCTTTATAGAAAGGACATGATGGTATTGGATGCTTTGAAGAGTGGCAAACATATTAGAAGACATTTTAAAAAGCCAATGTCAAATGTGAACAGTGAGAGAGTTCAGTATGACAAGTATAGCAAGGAGAGAGGAAATGATAAACATCAGAAGGAGGAACCACCACATAGGAATTTTGAAAGGTAACATTCATTCAAATTAAATAATATCTATCATCATTTTATTTTTAGGTTACTTCCATAACCATTAAAGTAGTGATTAATTGTAGCACTGAAATATTGTTTTCCAAATAGATTTTTTACAAATCTCACTTAATCATACACATACAATGTATAATTTATTTCTTTTGGGTTAGTAAGTATTGTTATTCAGATTCTTATGCTCTCAGCAATCTAGTCTTAAATTGTTACTTAATTGTTCTTTTTTAACATTGTAATGTTTAATTTCGTTATTTCAGAAAAGAAACAACTATGTTGCCTGCACAAGACAGGTTCCCTGACTCTGGTACTTGCACTAGGAATAAGTATGAAAGAACTAATACCAAGGCAGATCATAGTGATAGAAAGAATAATGTTAAAGAAAATGTGCCACACCAAAAGACTGAACAATACAATCCTCTACAACTACTGGCTGGCAGTATTAAGGATAGGAGGAAGTCTATGCCAGCTGCCAGGTAACACACATAGATGTTGTCATTACTTTGTAGTAATGATTATATCTATTGGTTGTATTTCACAAATTCTTAACTTACATACAATTTACATATTTCAGTGCATCTAGTGATATAATAAGTTCAGATGAAGATTTTAAACGAAATATCAAAACCAAAGACACAAGAACTGATAATAGAAACTTGAGTAAAGTCTCTCTAGATAGATATAGCAACAAGAATACAGAATCATCATATCTGGATGATAGAACTTACAATTATCAGGGGTCTATTAGAGACATGCACAAAAGTAGAACAAGCAGACATGATGTTTCACCACATAGAGGCCGGGATAACTATGAAGCACCACCTAGATACAGAAAGCATCCCAGCGCAGAGCGTGTACCGAAGAGATTGCACAGAGATCATCAAGATGACTATTATAGACAAGAACAAAGAAGACATCAAGCAAGATCCTTGGAAAGTCCACCTAAGTCTCATAGCCGACATCGGCAACGACTGACAGAGAACCCACCTAATTATGAGAAGCATGAACAAGACAAGCATAGACATCAATATGAAAATAAACAAAATTCAATGAAACATAGACAATCAAGTGAATATGATGAACCACAGTCTAAAAGGCAAAGAATAGAACCTCTTGTTCATTCTGATACTCATTTCAAAGAAGATAGAAGGCATTATCCAGAGAACCAGCCTGTGTGTACACAACCCATGCCAGCATTTTCTCCTCATGAATATGATAGTCTTCATTTCTCCTGCCAGTCCCCAGATTCTGAACACTTGGAATCAGCTTATCCACATCCTATTAAAGGTAAAAAATATAATAGGTTACAGTAGGAAATTTTGGAAATTAAGACTAAGTGCTGAAACTGTTTAAAGCGGCTGTCCGCGATGAGCACCCGGTGCGTGACCACCCGCGGCGCTACGTGTGGAGATCGGATTGTTAAGTATCACCAGTCCAACTTTAATTGTATGCATATATATACAGTTGTATCAATCGAAAACTTAAAATTTAATATAGGTATGTAATAGGAAAACACGCGCAGCAGGCGTGGGTGCGCGCAACGGAGAACTTTTATATGGGACCGTACTGTCGTCCGCGTCCGGTTAAAGCAGTTTTCAGCCTTACTCTCTTACAAAACTGTTTTCTTTGAAACTTTATGTTTGAACCTTTTATTATTAAACTTGTAACAATCAGACTGCCTGTTTCTTATTTAAATTGAGGAAAAGAGTGGAACACCTATAAGTTTTTCAACTTTTGCAGAAATCATGGCTGTGGCTGCAATACCACTGGAAGATCCACGACTCTCGAGCTTAAAATATGCTGTTATTAAAGAGAATGGCAAAGATATATTAACAACAAGAGTTGGCTTGAATGTTGATCTTAAACCAATTGACAGAAGTTATTATGGTGTTCATCCTGTCAATGTCCCAACTGCATTAGTGCGTCGTCCTTCGACTGACAGTATTATAAGCGATATCTATCGTGATGTCGGTAATCCAATAACTAGTTTAAATGCATCATTTGAATCTGGAGAGGTTCGTGAGACTGATTATGAATGCCATGACATTTACGACATACCATACAAACAAAGCAAATGTGAAATGCAACCCAAGCAAGTACCAAATGTGTTTCCAAAGCAAACAAAGAGTGTAGCAACGCCAGCTAGCCAGCCTAACTTGGAAAAGTATGTCATACCAAAAATTTATCATAATAGTACAACTACATCAACTAGCATAGATGTTCCTATCAATCATCCACGTGAGACCGTCTCTAACAATAAAGATATTCCGAAAAAAGATGCGGCTGAAGATTCCTTACCAAGGAAATCATTAAGCAGACAACACATAAATGAAGGGCCGGTAAGTTTTCCTAATAATAACGGTATTCAAAAAGAAAATCAAAGCCAAGTAACACTCAATAAAATGGCCATGGTTGCCGGCGATTTAGAGTTAAGTGATGATACCAGCGATAATGTTGATATACACAAACATGTGATGCAAGAAAAAGTTGAGAAAAGTTGCAAATCTTTGACAAATATCGACAAAGACAAGAAAAAAACTGAAAGCCTCGCGCTATCAAAGCTAACGACCGTACCTGTAACGATGAAACCTGTAGATGATATGGAAATTAAAAATACTGGAGGAGATGTAAAAAATAGAGAATTAGAAAGTATTAATAAGAAACAAAAGAGTAGAAAATCGAAAGGCAAGTCTAAATCTAAAGAAATTTCTAAAGATTCTGTAGAAAGTTTGGAACCCAACACAACACATGTTGAAAAGAAGGTAAAGACAAAAAAAGATAAAGAAATAAAGCCCAAAAAAAACAAGGAAAAGTTTAGTGATCTATTTGGTGATAGTAATAGTTTGGTGACTCCTGAAGATTTAGGGATACCTACATATTTACCTATTTCCGAAGATGCACAAGACGCGGTCGATATGAAGATCGACAAAGCTATCGCTGCTTCCCTTTCTCCATTAGACAAGGAAGAAATTGATCTTGTGCAAACACAACGCGCTATAGAACTGAAAGAAACAACTACAGTTTGTGATGTTTTAAGGGCGACGGAGTCGATGGAAAATCACGAACTTCCATCTCCTATTGTGTATGAAAACCTAAATCCTGGCATCGATTCAAATGATACGGGTGTGGTTAAAACAGTTATAATTTCGACAGGAGTGCAGCCCGAGATTCCGTTTGACGTTGACGCAGAAGTTAATATACATTCTGCACATAGCTCTATGCCTGTAGATGTGAACTCAAAACCGACTGCTTTAGAACATAAAAAACAAGATCATTTGAAAGCATTGGCTACATCTACACCACAAAAAGAATTTACTGCTAAAACCTCTATAGAATCCGAAGTTGGAAAAATGGAGTCTACTAGTAAGTCTGATATGGTCAAGGCAGTTTTGACGATATCTAATGCGGAACCAGTAGCCCAACAGAGTGGCGCAAATACTGATTCTCATGATGCACCGGATGTTAGAATATTTATGAAAAGACGCAGAAAGGTTATAAAACGTCCACCGACTTCTACCACTTAGCACATAGTAATACATTAGACTTAAAGAAGAACTGATGTAGAATATCTGTGTAACCAGATAATTTATAGTGCAATCTTGTGAGCCAGCTTCAACGATGTACCGTCGCTGAGAGTTAAGTTGGAGTTACCACAGTATTTAAGATAATATGGTCTTTTATTTATTAAGATATCAAGTTTCATAAATTATGCCTAATTTATATATTGTTCATGGTTTTGAGTTAGACTGAGAATAATTTATGTAAATATTGTTTTAAGCATTTCATCACATTGCACCAACTTTATGGTAGCTGTGATTGAATTACTCCTTAAACTTGTAGTTCTAAGTCTAGGTGCTCAACCTAATTTTAAGTTTATAGAAAACAAATACATATCTTGTTTAGTAGACATAGTGGAAATTTTTTGTTGCTAGCCGCAGTTTCTCCGCCCACGTGATACTGATACATACGAATGTATTCAAGAACTTATTTAACTAAATTTTATAAAAACGTGAAATCTCTTTCACCAAATCCACCAATATCTTTAGTCGAAAATTTGTTTTCTACTACAATATTTCTATAATTATTCATTCGCGGCAATTTTTTGTATTTTTTTTTTATTTATCGGATTCAAAATAGAGGCAATGTTGAGACAAGTCGCGCCACACACCACCGTTAGTAATTCTGTCGCCGCGCGCCGGTAAAGTGGTGGACTAGTTGTTGAAATACAACCCTCTTTTCATATAACTGTATAATCTGCCTGCGAGTTACCTGAATTAAAAAAAAGAGTATGCATTATGTCTTCAATTCTATTCTGAATTCTTGTTTGTCCATTTTTAAATTCCAAAGTGAAAAGAGATGTTTTTTGTTTGAAGAAAAGGTTGCTTTAAAACTTGTATAGTTTTCAAAATGCGGTTATGTGCTAATTCTCAAACGCCACCTCAATTTATTGCTCTACTTAACAAAATTAGGGATTGGTGCGATATTTAAGTACAACTTAAAATGGATTGGCATTTCAGTGTCCGGGCGTTAGCTTTTCATTTTTGTTTATTGTATGTGGATTGGAGTATGCTTCATTATTATTTGGTATGCCTAATATTACAAAAAATCTTTCGTTGCAAGCAAATGATGTCATTAACCAATGTTTAACTATCACATAAGTAAAAACACTAATTTACTTCAAACAGTAAACACAACACTATAGTGATCTCAAGTAAAGATGACGATTTAATGTTGTTGTACGTATTGTAAGGGTTCAACGTTTATTAACTTAAACTTTTTTTAACCTAACTACATGAATTCTTATGTGACAATAGGGTTTTAGGTATTAAAAACGACTTGGATTTGGAGCCCCCTAAAAGCGCCAACAACAGGTTACCGAAGTATTTTATCATGAATTGCGAAATAATTAGCATCGCATCGTATATTGCTCTCGGTGCGTCCCGTTTTCACGTATCCGTGGCACTAGTCACAGATCGAGTCTGTAATAGATTTTCATAATGCTACGTTTTTACCTGTAAACTTAAATTGAAAATAAAATATTTGGTGTATTCCCATAACAGTCTTTATTTTCCTTATAAATAACTGTAAATTATATTTACATTTCAGTAGACTATCTATATGATACATTGGAAAGAATGATTAACTTATACTTATAGGAATTTGTACATAATTAATTTAATTAAAGATACATTTTAATTTCCATATCAACATTTATGTACAAGTACTGTTTAAAACAACTATGTTGTGTTATATCTATGTATCGGGGAGTAGTTACATAGCTTAATTAGCGTTAGACCGTTGGTATCGTCGTCATTCTATTAACACAGAGTTAGTTCGCCTCGAGCCTCGACAAACAAGTATGAGAAGATCCGGATACGTGTGAATGTTGCTCTTCCACTTAAGATTATTAATTTTCCTTATAAATTCATTACATTGTGAACTATATTTCTCATGTTATTTGGCTGTGTTATCTGATGAATTCTCAGAATTCGCAATCTACATGTGATAATGGATTATACAAGATGAGTTGACAGTTTATATGGCAATCGACCGTGACTTTGAAGCGTACATTATATATTGATATCAGTCCATGTAAACATTATTTTTTGTTGATAATAGCACATTGAACTTGTGTTAATATTTTACTTAAAATTATTGATTCACTACACTAAGATCGTCAGAGTCTGTATAAAAATAAAACTTCATGCTTAGAACACATGACTTACAATGATACAAAGGGACCGGATATCATTTTGAGATTACGGCAAGTAATACGTCCCTTGCGGAGTCAGAGCTAAGCTATACGCGCGAACAAAGTCGCGGGCAAATAATCACCAATAACGATGATAGAAGTTGTTCACTACATGTAGTCGCTGGGGGTCCTAGGATTAGATAGGGTTCCTATGATGTTGTTGGCAGTGGGGATGTCGTCATTCCGGGATATGGAGGTTCCGGACGAGGCGCCGGTAAGCGACGAGCCGGAGGCCGAGTGTCGCTTGCCGAGCTTCTTCAGCACGGCCGGCTGCGGCTCGCTGTCTGCGGGCGGCGCCACCAGCTGGTAGCAGACGGCGGACGCGTGCCCCGACCGCACCGACGTCAGCGCCGTGCCCGCGCTCCACGTGTTCGTCGCCGGGTCGTATACCTCCACGATGTCCAGGAACGACGTGCCATCGTAACCTCCTGCAATTACAACCACACAATCAAACATCGTGACTTAAGCGCGATATGAAATCGTTTCTAAAGAAAAGATTTCTTTAACAGTCACAAACGCTAGAATGAACACTATGAACAGTGGTACTAACCGAGTGCGTATAGTTTGTTGTCGAGCACGGTGAGTGAGAGCGCGGAGCGAGCGACATGTACGGGCGCGACTAGTTCCCACGTGTCTCGCTCCGTATCATATCTCTCTACCGACGCTAACTGCTGCGACCCGTTGTATCCCCCCACTACGTAGATGTACTGATTCATTGCAGCCACGCCTAGAACAATAGAACAACAAAAATAAGGCCTTGCTGACGGCATCATAGTCCTGCGACTAGAAAGGCCTATAGATTATTATGAAAAAATGTACTTGGACAAGCTGAAAATATTTATTGCTAAGACAAAAAGACCGGCTCTTACCGGCTCCACTCCTGGCTATATTCATGGGCGCTACTTCAGTCCAACAATTATTCTCTGGATGGTAGCACTCGACGGAAGCGATTCGCCTGGAGCCATTGAATCCACCGACAGCATACAGCAGTCGGTTCACTACGGCCACGCCGACACCTAGTCGAGCACAACTCATCGATGCTACGGATGTCCAAGTGTCGCGCTCAGGGTCGTAGCTGTGAAGAGAAAAATATTTGTACATTCATCATTCATTTCATTAAATAATCCATCATCGTCATCATCTGTACACAGATACAAGAGATCGATAAAATTGAACTACGTAAATTATTGTGCATAATACAATCGCATGTAATGGATACGTTGCAAAAAGTTTAAACTGTTTGTGTTAGTGACTTGTCGTAGTTAACCAAATACTCATATTTATCATGCTTACTGGCGCGTTTTCAAATCCTTTGTTCTTACATTGTGTGTAGTTATGATGTTAGTCGTTCATATCAAAATATTGTTTTCTGTTTTTTTATGATAACAATTAGGTACTAATTTTTTGTTGGTATAAATACAATGGAAAATAATTTGTATTATAGCATAGCAAAATCTATCTTTATCTGGTTGGTATAGTCAATTTTTTTTAAATAGTTTAATCTACCATAGGTTAGCAAACAAGGTTATAACGATCTTTTGTTATAGATAATTAATGCAAGTAAGTAATGCTTACCATTCTACAGATTCATGATATTCGGAGCCAGCCGATCCACCCACTGCATATAGTAGTCCATCCATTACTGCTACACCTACCTGTTGAAAGAGGAACAATTACATTATTAAAAAAAACGATAAAACAGAAAGTTGTATGAGGGAAAGAGACTTCTATTTTAAAACTCCCACGATATATTTAGAACTACAGTTTTTTTTATATATATTTGATGGACCGACGTATGACTATTATCTCGCCTAGTGGTAAGCGATGATGCGGTCTACAATGGAGCCCGTCGTCCCATAAGCAACCTATACAATCGGGCCTTGAAGACACCAGGTTATACCCTTCAGGAAATACAGACTCTGGCAAAGAATTCCACTCCTTAGCAGTACGCAAAAGGAAGCTTGATGCGAAGCGCTTCCGATGCGAACAGTTACGGCCATTTTAAGTACACAAGTTCACATACCCTGTGCCTGGGCGTGGACATAGGGCTGCATGGTCTCCAGTGTTCCGTAGCAGGGTTGTACACATCCACCCAGTCGCTGTCGTACGATGACCCCGGCGATGTGTTGCGTCCACCCACAGCGTAGAATAGTCCCTGAAGAGATAAATTTGCTATATTACTTCAATAAATCTTTTAAGGAACGTGCAATGTTTATGATTAGAGATACCAAGTATTTTCCTAAATGTATAGGAATATAAGAAATGCCAGTTTAATACTGCAAAAGCCCCAAATATAGCATTATAACAACAAAGCGATGCGCAATATGCCTGATAATTGACAATAAATGTCGACGATGACGTTACTGCCACATTTTGCGGCTGTCATCCTGACTGGCCGAGCGTTTGCGCTGTAAGTAGGTACGATCGCCACGCAGGCGCACAGGCGCGGTACCTACCTACTGCGTACGATTCCTATGATAATATTAACACATTGGGCTTATAGCAACATAGGTTATATATTCGTCATTGAATTTATTTTTAGCATAGAGAACTACGTACCCCAGAAGCGTTCCCGCCTGTGCCGAGTGTGGGTACATCGAAATAGATAACGATCAAATAAAAATAAGTTAGATATCGAATTGTGATAAAATTGTTGACTTTACCAGCAAGTATCAACAAGTATTGCCGTCCTGTAGGAATATGATTGGAAAAACCTATGTAGAATGGAATAAACTTAATTTGAGTGGACCTTCTATTATGTAATCTCATTTAGTGGCATAAGGTTCAGTTTCCTTCACCTCGAAGGATGGCCAAAGGGTAAAAGTAGTCTGATCAACCTGTATTATGCATTCTCGTATAGAGGCATAAGGTTCAATTTTGTTTTTACCTTTAGAAATGCCGCTCCTAACCCTGATCGCGGCACAGTGAGCCTGGGCAGCGTCGTCCAGCAATTGTCGTCTAAGTTGAAGGCCTCGAACAAATCTATTGAGTGTCTGAAGTAACCACCAGCTACGTATATGATGCGGGGCGTATTCGGTCGTCGTTCCTTCACCACCGGCTTCTTGTGTAGTGTGAGATCCTGCAAACGAAATATAATAATAAGAAAATTGTTAATAATTAACCACTGTTTTGGTTTTCGAACTTAAAATGCTGGTAGCGCAAATTCTCTAAATCATTCCTTCTAGTCTAGTGCACAAATAAGTGACTGCACGGTTGGTGCGATGCTTGGGCAACCGGCTGCCGTGCAACGTGTCGCGGGTTCGATTCCCGCACGGAACAACACTTTGTGTGTTGTTTCGGGTCTGGGTGTCATTGTGTATGTGAACTTGTATGTTTGTAAACTCACCCACGACACAGGAGAAAATCCTAATGTGGGGCAACGTTTAAAAAATACCTATGGACTATAATTTAAACATCCAAGGCTCTCAAACTTCAAAATACATACAAAGGTAAGGTAAGGTTTTTAAATGGATTCAAAGCCAAAATTCCTTAGTTTTAAACAGGTTAAATTGGCTAATGTAATAGAACATAATATAATACATAATGAAATTCTTTAAGTGCGTTACCTTAAATATTTTAGCGAGGTACTCTCGGCAAGCCGGAACTTTTTTGAGTACAGTACACGTGCTCATCTGCTCCTTGAGGAAGCTGGGCGTTAGGTACTGACACCGCACTGCTTGGAGAATGTGTTCCATGCGCGGATGCCTTCTGTCCTCATCATACTTCACCTGTAGACAGTACCACATTTGTAAATTAGTGTTGTATAAACGCCGAACAATATTTTTTACTAAATTAAATAAAATATCAAGCATTGTTGTTTGATGGGTGTTTTCACAAGATGTCTTAATTATCCTTTCTCCGTCAGTACAACAGATAAAAAACGCAATCATGCAAAAATAAATAGTTTTATCTATACTTTCAATAACACAATCAATAGCGTGATTTTTCTTACACTAATTAAAGTGTTGAACATTTCTGCCTGACAATAGTTTCTCTTGATTTTTCTATTGACCATGATCTGATAACGGCATGATTCATGACATTAAATATATTTTGACGTGGAAACAATGTTTTCCATGTAAACGATTATTTCGCACAAACATTGTTACGTAATATCTACGTTGATGTATCTAAGTATCTGAATTTCGTCTTCTTACGTGGTTTACATAGAATTTAGTCATCGTTTTTCCTTAACAATTTATTAGCATATAATTAAAGTGATAAATGGGCGTGTGATTTTCATTATATGACATAGTCTGTAGCTAAGTGACACATAGCATGAATCTCATTTTCCTATTTTCACAATGCACATAAGAGAATGCGTTTGCTTTCATAGAAGTGTTTGCTTAAGACTTATGTTATTAAGCGTTCTGTGAAAACAACGAGTATTTGCTGCAGCAATCTATCTGGTTTATTGCTGGAGTTAACAAATTATATTGCCGTTTTAGATATTATCTATATTTTGTTATGTGAAGTGTCTAGTACCATACATTACATATATGAATGTATAAAATCTGTGCTTGTGTAGCGTTAATGCTATAGATAATGGTTAACAATGAATGATACAGGATTTTAGTAAAAATAGTAAAAAATATATGAAATATAAATCAGCCTGGTCGCATGGAGACATACCCAACCTAAATGTATTTTAAAGTGACGTGCGTAGTTTTGATAAAACGATTATTTGCTTACATGACAAAAATAATGCTGACGTCATACGATGATAAACATATCTATCGCAGACGATAAGTGACCGCGTTGTTTTCCTCAAAGATCGGCTAAATTATATCATGTTAACAGTAAATGTTCAACTCGATTTGACCACTATGTAGTGCTACGTCTATAACACCTTTGTGGTTTATTAGCCATTGCTTGTGGCTACGTGCGTCATATTTATATTTATGGTCAATCAAATTAGGAGAAAATAAAATAGAAATACTAAAGATACGTGCTAAAACATACTTGTGTTTAGGAATTATAATTTACAGATTCAGTCATTAATAGAACTTACTGTAGGATTCTATTTGGCCACGAACTTTTATTGACCCTACCGAAATAAAGAGCGAGTAAACATTTAAATTCCGCAACAATTCAAACAACTCTATTTCAAATGATAACGGAGATTAAGTCATAGATTTACTCAAAATGTTGGTCGTAAGTTCAACGGTATCTATGCGATAAGATAATACGGGGGCAATCGCCATCTTAGCGGGTGAACTACATTTAGTAAACAACGGTCATTGCTCCATAATCTAAAAAATGTACCTGCATTTGATATGATGGATTTAAAATTATTCACATAACTTGATAATTTCTTGACTGCATCGCTAATGTAAGTGCGGTTACTCAAACTGCCGTGAAACAAACCAGGTCCTGTTGGAAGTCAATGTATGGAATGGATATGAATTCCATACATTAACTTTTGATCAAAAGTCGACACTTTAAATGTTCAATGAAGGCTGTGTGGCGACACATGCCAAAGACTATCGATGAAAACAAATCAACGGATGACGTCACAAAAATCCTACATCGCACAAGTAAAGTTTACATGCGAATTAACACAAATAGAAAATCCCAACAAACAACTATTGGGCAGTAAGTCCGCCAGGCACTATCACCTCGCCTGGTCGGAGGATTCTCCTTTTCCGATCTTAGGGAACTATACTCTCTGTTCCCTAAAACTGCACCTCTGTTGACATCCCATTATTTGAGTATTAGTCATTTTACAGGAATTCCAACTACAGTTTCCGAGAAACTTAGGAGTTGTGTTATGACTTTTTACCGACTTCAAAAAAAGGAGGAGGTACTATGTTCGGCTGATTGTTTTTTTTTTTTTTTTTTTTTTTTTTGTTCGCGCAGTACTCCGCCGTTTGTGGACCGATTTCGAAAATTTTTGTTTCATTTGAAAGGGTTTACTCCCGAGATGGTCCCATTTCCATGAAGTCAGGATCTGATGATGGGATCCTAGGGAAACCGAGGGGAACTTTCGAAAATTCTATGGGGGAGTAATGCGTCTATTATGTTTTTCAATTACGAATTTTAAACACTACAATTTAATAAGGGTCTGGAGTCGACCTGATGATGGAGCCGACAGACAGTCGAGGGAACTCCTTAGTGGTTTATATTAACTACCTTGTGTTTGGGCGTATTTAATTTGTATTGATGAGGACTTTACACCTAGATAGAGTGGGGCTGTCATTAAGGGTCTGATGATGAAGAAGTGTAATTGTTAAGGGAACTCCTCAACGGTATACAGTAACTACCTTGAGTTTGGGCTTGATTAATTTGTATTGATGAGGACTTTGCACCTATGTATATTATAAGTAACAAAACGGGTATATGTAGCTTTACACTGAAAATGGTAAAATAATAAAATAAAAACTGCGTTTAAAAAACCGACTTCAAAAACCAAAAACTAATAACAAATAAAAATTCAATACTAAAAAGCAAAAAATAACTATTATTAGTACTGATACGTTACCCACCCACTGATAGGTTAGAAGTCGGTGCCATAAGCTCATATCATAATGATATAACTTAATGTCCACAAAATAGTGAATTAGATACCTATTAAGGTTTTAATGAATAATTTTGTATTGAACTTATGGCACCGACTTCTTACCTATCAGTGGGTGGGTAACGTATCAGTACTAATAATAGTTATTTTTTGCTTTTTAGTATTGAATTTTTGTTTGTTATTAGTTTTTGTACTAGATAATTTATTATTCACATAATTAGCTACGACGGTGACGCGTCTGACCTTAGGTTATTGGCACAAAATAGCTGGTGCTAAGATATAGTTCAAATCAAATCGTTGGCAGACACAATAACAACTTCATTTATATTAATTGGAATCATGATACTACAGTCAGATACATGGTACATAGATTGATTGTTTTACCTTATTAAAAAGATCCTATTGGAAAGTCTACAGATTATGACGTAGTATTCTTTAAATATAGACTTAATTAATCATTGCACTTAAGTTCATTTTTGAGAATTTGCTGAGTTTTACCGAATATATCAGTCGGTCAGCGATGCAGTGGTTTTCTTCCACATTTCATAAGGCATAGTAACTTAATACATAATTAATTGAATGGATAACTTACCCAACTGAGCACTGCATTGTAGACGTCCCTTTCTTCCCTTACGTTCAGTTCATCTTTGCGTATCAAACATATTAATTCTTGAGGCGTTAATTGTAGGAACTCTTCTTCTTGACAAACCTGTAACAATTATATTTCTAATTATTACATTGCTTAGATTTTTTTTTATAAAAGCGGTCACTGGTGCGGTGACCGCTCTCCACTAACTACATTATAGACCTTATTTCCTTTGTTTAGAGACTACTTTGTATGAACAAATTTAAGGTACGATATTTCAACAGGTTAATCTTCAGTAATGTCTGCACCTCGATATCGACCAATCATTTTAGTTTCTTATTTTAAATTTTAAAGTAATCAGCCATCTCGTTCACACTATTCTAATGGCCAATTAAGTAATTCTTTATTAGTTTTATTTCTACTTCCAAATTCGGAATATGAATTCAAAAGCTCAACGTTTATTTTGATTGGCTGTTTGAAAAGTGGAGGTGAGGTGGTTACACATTATAAAGGTGAATCCCTTACCTATGTATTACACGTATAGTAGATAATATGATTTGAAACCCTCGATATAGGTAGATAGTCCGTCACAGTGTGAGTTGGCATACACCGACAAAGCATGACGAAGCACGATCCTGGACACTTATGTTAACTTTACATGACCCATGTTTGTTCCAGTTGTCACCCATCCATTTAGATTTCTAGATTATCATATCACCAATGCCTATGTGACATCGTTCATGTGAACCGTCCCTTTAAAATTTCATGATGATTTTTACACAATGTAGGTACCTACCAATGAGGGAATTTTATTTGTTTACGACTTTTTAGGTACGTCAAAAGGTAATCTACGGCGGAATAGATATTAAATCGTAAATGTTGATTTGTTGAAACCATCGTGTGTCTAATGATAAGCACTGTGTTGATATAAATTATATTGTTTATACATTCTAAAAATTACAAAGAAATCGTTCCTAGGTTTGTTCTAACTACATTACATGTCGTTTTAAAACAACAAATATATATCGTCATTCTCATTGTTAACGTGCATCGAAGGCAAAGTTTGTTGTGTTTACAATAAAACTTATGACAGTGCAAAGTTTTGGCAGATAACTTATCATTTTTGTAATTTATTTTATTAATTACTTAATTGATTTAATTTCACATAGTCAGCCGAGGTTCGGTATTTGGTGCCTCAAATTTGAGGTTCCTTTATGAAATTACACATCATGTTGTTATTTACAAAGATAACCGATTACTTGGTGGTTTGACGTCAATGTCTTAGGAATGCATTCGAATTATGAATCGCAGTGTAAAACGCCGTTTTTGCAGCGACTAGATGGCGCTAGTGCTGGTTAGGTCTTGTACGGCCAACCATTGTAATAAATACTTTAGCGATATAACCTTATTGCTGAAGAAACTAAAGAGAAGCATAACGTACCTGAGTAAAATGCCTTTCGATAAATTGGTTAGCTTTCTTCTTGAGGTCGACGCAACCATGTTGTTCTGCAAAGTTGGCGATACCAATGGCATTGGAAGGATCCAATTGCTTCTCGAGGAAGGCACAGCACGCATCAATCACGTTCGATACCTGTCGACACATAACTAAATTGAGTGTAGATTGCTAATGTTTATACATCTATACTTATACTAAGTCGCCCTAGATGTTTTACAAAGTAATCACACAGATTTACTATAAGTAAAGTTGAAAGTTAATTGTTTGTGTGCATTCTGACATAATACCTTTACTACCATGTTTGTAGTTATTTCAAACTGATTGCATCAGGGTTTCCTAACAAACAGCAGTTCTAATGTTTATGAATGAATAGGTCTGCGTTTTTACATCATCAGTACCTAAATTATTATGGACCTTCTGAGATTACACTGATTTTCTACGTTGAAGTCTAAGCCCTTGCGATGACTTTGCTTAACTTTGCTACAAAATTATTATCTATTTAATACAAAATTTTCCACTGTACGTAACATTATAATGGGTTTTCCATTTTATGAATAAATCGATGAGAAATATCAGTCATAATTACTCGCATTTTTGACAATGACTGTCCGTTATTGTTGATAAAATGAAAAGTAAGAACGAAGCGAAGGCGAGGCTACATTTTTGAATCACGCAACGGATGTTTGAATTTCGTCACATGACACGATATAAAAATAAAAATTTTAAATGCGTATTTAGTACGTAAGGAGGCATTACTCTATTTCATTGATTGACTATTTCTGTACGATTCAGTAGATATATTACTAAAACATGTAACATTTAATTTAATTATGCATCAAACTTGACTTGACTTTGGTTATGTGACGTATCGCGGGTTCGATTCCCGCACGGAACAACTCTTTGTGTGATTCACAGATTGTTGTTCCGAGTCTAGATGTCATGTGTAAGTGAATTTGTATGTTTGTAAACGCACCCATGACATAGGCGAAAATCCTAGCGTAGAGCAATGGTTTTATTTATTTATTTATAACAGTCACAACGGTTGAGAACAAAAACCAATTAAAGTATCTGGATGGTTTTAAAAAAAATAATCAGTATACATTTTGCGTCACATAATTGGAATTCTTTTGAAACAAAGAAAGGAAAGGCGATGTAAACATGCATACTTATACATAATTTACCGGGAACCCAGTCAATGTTTGAATATTAATCGAACCATACAGTTTTAGCAACTAAGAATATATTTCTCATCTTCATCTTGCAGTTTTCAATACAGGAAATTAAATAAGTTAATTTATTTTATCTACCTCAACACTAGATACAACTTTGATTTTTTTATTATAATTACTTGTCAGAGTACAATAGGTACACATAACATAACATAACATCCCGCCTTTTATCCCCGATCACTTACGACCACTCGGTCAACGAGGCAGACAATAGGTAGCTATATGTATATAAACTGTCATCGTTTTTATTGTTAGCTTAACATTTTTCTTGCGAGTCAGACATAACGCAGCTAAAACTCCACGTAGTTACGTCTTACCATGATTCTCACGGACGTTTGAATAAACAACTGATAAATAAATTAAGATTATGTACCTACATTATTCATTACTTATAGTTTGCTTACAAAAAGTGGGCTTACACAGCGCATAGTTCTGATACCTCGCTCTTGAAATGCACACTGACACAATAGATAATTATTTTGAATGTCAATGTTTTAATCGTTTTGTTGATTCATGTTTACATTAATCAGACACTAAGTGATTTTGGATAATGTAATTATTATTTTAATCCCTGATGGATTTCCAGGCGTAACGTCATGAGCATAATGTGCACATGTCTTACACCGGGCACAGTTTTAGACTCCGTGCCATCGAAAAACCGAAATGACTCCAATAACTCTGCCTGACACGGGAATCGAACCCTGTTTTCCGTGCTTGCAACCACTTGACCAACAAGGTAGAAATTATTCTTCTAATTATAACATAAGACTTACTTGGAACATGGTGGCGGCGGGTAGAAGTTGGCAGACTGTGATCTCAGTGATGCGAATCTTGCCGGTGTAGAGGAAGTAGACTAGCCACGCGATAGCAGACGGACAGACGCCCTGTAGACGTACTCGTGACATCTCGCATTCCTTTAGACCACTCGTGAACATTGCCTGTTGGATAAAGGAGCAGTTAGAATCACATCACCATCAGTTGATTTCTAAGCATCGACTTTTATGACGGGGGAAATTTCCTTACTTTTGGGGAGAAAAAATTGTGGGATGGCATGTGATATTGTTCCCACATTAAAATCACCCCCATCAAAAACTATAAGGGGTACTAGATCGTCTAAACAGTAAAAACAGTAAAACCTGAATCACTTGAAAGCATCTTTTACAGTATGTTCCTAGGTACTTTTTTTAAGCGAGGAAAATCATCGAATGACTGCTTCCGCCTGGGTGAGGCGGGCGGGAGTGTCAGACTCTTACTGGCTAAAAACCACCCCGTTCCTTCTCCTGCACGTCGAGCCGGAGCCCCGGTTACCCGTTAGGTTCTCCGCGACAATGTTCCTAGGTATAGGGCAAGAGTTGGAACGAGTTGGTTTTCTTCAGCAAGAATCTCCAGTCTGATACTCCATTAGTCATTTGTCGATTTTCCATCCTGACTAAAAATGTTCTTAGCATCAAATAAACTAAATGAAGTACATATATATTTAGTTACTCTACTTTATGACTAATTTTATATAGTTCTGTAATACAGTAATCAACTAATCAGTCGTTGGTTTCTCTGATTATCTTTTAAGGAGCAAAATTGTTGCACATGACTCATTTGAGTGACTAATTGTCAAACAATAAATGATTTATTTTCATGTACGGTAACAATTCAATATCGATACAGTCCGCCAAGTCATTTAATATTCAGGTACGAAAAAAAATTGATACAGTACTGAGACGGCAGCTATTGTGCTACTAGACTTTGACTATAAAGCTTTGAGTATTAACGACCATATAAAATGGAGTGCCTATAGCACTCCGCAATAACACTGTGTTTATTACAAAGCAAAAATAGATTCAGAAAAACATTTGTATCAATAGATTACGGGGATTAACCTGAATATACAAGTCATCGTGTTGAGGTAACGCTCGAACTCATATCAACCAATTTGAGTAGATGTTTGCACAAATTCTTAGAATACCGTACAGAGTACAGAGTTCATTTAGGAAAATTGTGTTTTTTGATTGGTAAATATCTAATGATGAATACATTTAAAAAGTTTCTATAATTTATTTTTCATTGCTCAGTCAGTAATTTTTTATGAAATTACATAATGCCAATATTTACTGAGCTAAGCGGCTCATGTGATAAGTCATTGTTTATCGAACATTTTTATAAATTGATATGCGAACTTACTGATTTATACATGAATGAACGAGTATCTTTTACTATAGGTATCTACATAAACATGCTGATTAGGTATCAGCAGTAGATAAATAGCTGAAACTAATGGACAAAAGTGAGTGGAATGGGTGAAGATGACCTCACAGAAGACCAACGTGAAACAACGTTGTGTGAGTGAGGTTATCGGAGGCCCAATTACCCCCCCACCCCCACCCTTTCCCCAATCCTTGAATCCCAACAATCCTCAAATTCCTAATCCCAAAAGGCCGGTAACGCAATTGTAACGCCTCTGGAGTTTCAGGTGTCCCTGGGCGACGCCGATTGCTTACCATCAGGTGATCCGTCTGCTCGTTTACCGGCTTATCCCATAAAAAAATAAAAGTATATGTGTAAAACTACGTGTTCAATAAAAATGATATCAGGATCAAAATATTCCATAGGTCAATATTGTATATCACTATATAATCCGTTTCCTTTTCAATATATGATGAGGTGTAATAACTCTTTTGACCATCAATGTCAAAAGTACAAACTTCAAAGGTAAAGTTATCACCTCAGTGTAAAAAAGACACCATTAAATACAATGTTTATTTTATTATTCATGATATTATTACGGACAGGATGACTGGCAAATATTTAATACCTACTGGGTACGTGTGATAAATGTTACATTAAAATACATAAACGTATATTATGATTACGTGACAGCTCCACCGACTTCATACGCTTCGTTGAGTTGCAAAACTTGTACCTAATATACTAATGACGATTTATATTATTATAAATAATATTCCAATAAGGATATTTGCCTATAAGAAGTACATATTCTTATTCATTTTGTGCGGTAACCATATTTGGCCACTACCTAAGGGATTTATTTTTTTGATAACAACGTGGAATATGATAATTTATTGATGGTTACAAGACATTTACATCGCACCATAACATATAACATCACGCCTTTTATCTCCGAAGCACATTGCACTGTACAATGTAACACGCACTTTTCACTATTTACGTTACGAGTCCCATGCAATAGGGGGCCCACCCCCTATTGCCATATACTGAGCATATATCCAGACTCCGTGCTACTACTGAGATTTTTTTAAAAACCCTGTAATACTTTGCCTTTGGAATCGAACCCAAGATCCCTTGCCCGGCAATCACGACCGCTCGGCCAATGAGGCAGTTACATAGCATCCTATAGCACTTTGTTGTATATCTAGAATACTAATCCCCTCTAGAGTTTATATGTACTTAAACTGATATTATTCGACCTCGTTTGTTATTAGTACAGCTAGTATTCTAGTACATACAGTGGTTCCATAGCTACTATGTTATGCTTCATGGGTTACTATAACCTTTCATATACATAGGTATGTGGCTATGTGTTATGTTGACCTAGGTCATGGTCTATTTGGATTTAAATCGTATAAAAATCTATTAACAAGATTAGGTTTCAATAAATTATTTGTGCTACTGTAGTTGGCTAGGTCTGTCGCCAAATATTGGGGGTATTTTAGTTAGTATTTCTACTTTATTTAACTAAGAACTTATGATATCCAAAGCCGAAGATGGAAACGCAAATCGTCATGCTTTGGGGACACCTCTACCAATGAGGTAGTGTTTATAATAGTATTAATTTATCGATTTGTTTAATCGTTGTTTAGTTAGGTTTAGACTCGGCCGGAAATCACTTAGATAAGATAACTTGGTGGGCCATAGGAGAGTCGTGAACACATGTATGTGGTTGGTTTCATCATGAAAATACCATGCAATACAATATGTACAATGCGGTTTTTTAAGTCTTTTAATTTTCAACAGTGTTCGTGGTCGTCAATCAGGAACAGATACAGATACCTAATGCAACTTTCATAATGACTTTGGGCATATGGTGCAGTAGTTCCCCACTGCATTGGCGATTTTAATGCCTGCATAATGTACTTTAAGTACTACTTACTTTAAAGTAGGGGCTGCCCGCGGCCAGGACGACTTTGTGGACGTGGAACAGCTCGTTGCCGACTTCCAAGACGACGTCAGTCAACATATGGTGCGACCGCATTGTGAACATCATCTGAGAAAATACAAGCCATTGTTATACACGGTACATTTTGTCACAGTTTATTTAATGTATTGTCAATATTTTAACAATCGGTTGTACGAAGCCATTTGTTAGTTGTGCTGTATCTAATTTAAGTAGTAACGTAATAAACAAAATATGTTGTGTAATAAAAATTTGCTCTTCTACAAACAGTGATTAGAATCATTGTAATATGAATAAATGAATAATAGTAATCATTTACATATTAACTACGTTTATCATAAGAACAGTTTTATATCTTAACCCACCTTTAAGCATATTATTTTTTACGATCCATGGACCGTTTCAAAAAATGCGAAACGAGAGGTTTAGATATCTATATCTTTTATTGTACAATGAGTACACAATAGGTAAATAATACGTCACTAATTACATATCTACTAATTGCAGAAGTTGCTAAATCATACAAATCCATCAAATTTCATAACTTTAATCTAACTTAGCAAAAATAAATAAGTATATACTACGTCTAACTGATAAGTGTTCGAGTATTACACCATATTTTTTGCAAAAAATCTGTTTGTCAAGCTGGGTCTTGAAATATTTATCGCGGTAAAAATTGACATCTAATGGCTTAGTTAGCACAATGCATCATATTAATATTATACCGAATTTATTGTTTTACAGTCGAAGTTAATAACCAATATTAATCAGAAATGTTTGGATTAGTTATAACAAACAATTCAAATTTGCCTTTGATTATTAGATTATTTTTTGACATAGAGTTCGACTTCTATAGTTCCCGTTAAAAACTTAGATCAGTCCAATGATTTCATATCAAGATTTAGATATCAATTTAATTTGGGACGTTAAAGGAGGTTAAACAAGAAAATAATAATTAGATAACCTGTGCTGCAGTGATAGACAACGTTTGACTGATACATTACAATTATTTATTTATTTAACTGTGGCGCTCTAAGCATTAAAACTGAAGTGTAGTTTAAATCTAATTTTGAATGGATAACCTCGGATAGACCAAAAAATAAACTAAATATGACGAAGTTAATTATTCAAATGTTGGGTGGGTATACCTATGGTACTTATTAGTGAGCCAATAATGTCTAGTAAATAAATAATTACACAAACTCGAAATACCTATGTAACGAATAAATATGTCGCTTCAGTTTAACCGAACTCATGAACACCTGCACTTATTCAAGTCATCGTTACAATTACCTGACATATACAATACGACACAATACATAGAGAATAAGGTAAACAATATGTAACTCGTGTTCAATACACAACCACTTCATCCATTTAAAAGTCTGTTATAGTTAATTGAATACCTATAATAGAAAAAACTATTATATCACGACTATAAAGTGATTTAGATTTCCTTCAAAAAACAAGTTCAAGATTCGTCAGTAGGTACAAGGAATTTTAAATTGTGACTCAGCTAAAAACCCGTATGGCGGTACCTAATGTGTATTTGAATCGAGACTATTTGGTTAGACTGACCGCAGACTATAGTCAAAGCGGTCAAAGCGTTGGTTGTCAGCAAATTGGCCAACTGTACTTTTTCCTCTTGCGGGAGTAAAAGTGGCAACCGTGTGTTAATTTCAATGCGCTTTTCAGTTTAGAACACAGAAAAAAGTAGACTTGTGTAGAAATGCATATTGGAATCAGATTTTGCGTGTTGGTTATTCAGCATTATTTTATTGAAGCACAGACAATATCCCAAACGGTGTTCAGTCTTTTCTCAGTTCTACATACAAAATCTATCTACAAAAGTATTAAAGATTTCGTAACAAAACTGGTTTTAAAATTAAATAACATTTCCATACATAAAAGATACGTAGTATATAAACACAACTCAACAAAAACAAGTACTTATAGCTATGAAGCCGGCTGATAAAAATATGCTTTGTCATGGGTACATACGTTGTGCGAACCTGCGATAAGTGCGCGACCAACAAATGTTTATTTATTGGGTATGGGTATACGTTCTACGTGTATCGTGTTTGCTTACAAACCTAATCTTCAACTAGCTTATTTACATACCTACTCGGTATCTTGTCTCAATAAGTCGCTGTAGTATCAACTATGAATGAGGACGGCCGCCAGCTGGGGCATATAGATACTTAGATAGTTTAGCCCAGTCATATTAGGTAAAAAAAGGAGTCAACCTCGGAATGAAAGATAATAAGCTATAAATTGGTATAAACCTTTGTTTTGTCATTCTAAATGTTGTCTCAAAAGTCACAAATGATACCGTGTCCGCGTCTTAAGATATTGAAGGTCAAAGGTCATAAAAGTTGGTTTTTCGTGAATATCTCACTTTCTATTCCTTAAATGATATTTTTACCTATAATAAAAGTTGTAGAGTATAAAATTCTCTACAATTTTCGTTTTATGATTTTTTTAATACGATCAACCGTTTTTGAGGTAGAGCGCGAAGAGTGCGCAGCGCACAGTCATATATGGTCCAATACAAAGTCAAGCGTGAGTTACGGTTATCAGTACGTTATATAAAGTTTATTATTTATTAAATTATTATAATTATTAAACAATGGTCATTATTTATGTACTAATTATTAATTGTTGATATTTTATTAAAACCAGTACCTTAATTATTTATATTTAACCATTCAACTATAGTCTATTATTAATTCTGGAATATATATTTTTAGTTAAAACGTCATTACATACGTTTTCTTCAAAACGTGTAAATTTTTTAATACTTAAACACCTGGATATCTACTGGTCTCTACCCTATTTTGGACCTATTTATAGCCGGGACAGATTTTCTTTTAAGAGACCACTTTGCATTCGTCAATATTATTCGTTAGTTTGAAATTGTATTGCCATCAGCAGATGGTACTTGAGTTAAAAACTTGGTATAGCAAATAGTATGATACTTTGCTTCAGCAGCGATCAAATCATACCCGTAAAGTATACGTTCCTTTACTAATTCTCCTAAGGAATCGTTGCGTTCTTCTGCCTTTTTAGTTGAAGGTTCACCCTCTTCTGTGCGTCGTTTCAATGCAACAATACCATTTTTACTAGTGTAGACTTTTCGACACTCGGAATACACAGAACTTAAAGTATTTAAATAGTCTATATTATTATGTCCATCATTTCTTTCAATACTTGCAGTTTTGAAAGTTTGTAAACCACGTACAACATTCACAGAAACACCTGCTGAAAGTGACTTATCATCACATATAAAACACAAATAAGCAATAGCTCTTAAAACCGTACGTCCGTCGTTGCGAAGATACAATTTAAAACTAACGAATAATATTGACGAATGCAAAGTGGTCTCTTAAAAGAAAATCTGTCCCGGCTATAAATAGGTCCAAAATAGGGTAGAGACCAGTAGATATCCAGGTGTTTAAGTATTAAAAAATTTACACGTTTTGAAGAAAACGTATGTAATGACGTTTTAACTAAAAATATATATTCCAGAATTAATAATAGACTATAGTTGAATGGTTAAATATAAATAATTAAGGTACTGGTTTTAATAAAATATCAACAATTAATAATTAGTACATAAATAATGACCATTGTTTAATAATTATAATAATTTAATAAATAATAAACTTTATATAACGTACTGATAACCGTAACTCACGCTTGACTTTGTATTGGACCATATATGACTGTGCGCTGCGCACTCTTCGCGCTCTACCTCAAAAACGGTTGATCGTATTAAAAAAATCATAAAACGAAAATTGTAGAGAATTTTATACTCTACAACTTTTATTATAGGTAAAAATATCATTTAAGGAATAGAAAGTGAGATATTCACGAAAAACCAACTTTTATGACCTTTGACCTTCAATATCTTAAGACGCGGACACGGTATCATTTGTGACTTTTGAGACAACATTTAGAATGACAAAACAAAGGTTTATACCAATTTATAGCTTATTATCTTTCATTCCGAGGTGAAACCCCTAAAATGACTGGGCTAAGTTATACTTTGTACAGGAATGACTGTGATGTCTGAAACAATATGCTTGCAAGATATATCTTGTACAAATGAAAAGAAGTGTATATAAACTAGCTTGTGAATTAGTATGAGAAAGCACATTTAAGTGGAGAACCGGATATTGAGACGGAACTTAAGAGGCGCACCAATTCAATTGAGGGCAGTCAGACTTGATTAATTGAAATTACGACAATGTTTTATTTACATACAATGCATTATTATGCTTTAACAAGTAGTTCACATGTAGGTAATTATCATATTATTGAGATACTATCTCACTCGCAGTTACCAAAATTGGTATGGTATGCCTTGAACTAGTATGATAGATGATCAAATCAATATGCACATTTATTAAAAAAAAAAAACAATCTAGTTAGTAATCAAAACCTAGAATTAATAGTCTGGAAAAATTACACAATATCACATTGTATAGTTTTTTCGGTTTTATCATAAACGGTCCGATTGCACAACATAGCTGTAGTTATAATTCGATTTGTACAGATGTGAAATTTATTTACCATTTTTAACTTCAACATTTTGTTAAGATGGTTAAAGTTAGTAATTAGCTGTTCTGATAACAAAGTATGTGCATAGAAAAGAGAGTTCTTCTACACACAACCATACATAAATAGTCGTTGCATAATTCAATGCGAGCTGGATGAGCCAACAGTCCCATTTATGACGTCTGGAGCTTGGGGTAGTTTTCCATTATCATATTATACATATACGTTAACAATTTTTACTGGCATATAACATAACAAAGTGTAGCTAGTAACTAAAGTACGACTAGAATGCCAGACTCATTTCGTATCAGCACGCTAATGAACGTGACCAAGGATACTAGTGCTCGGTGAACAGTAACTTGGAATCGTGATACTCGTGAGTTACGGATTCTGCACACATAATAGAAACTCGTATGTTATGTGTCACTAGTGCAGCTTTCACAAGTATAGTATAATTGTATTAGTACCTTTACTAATATTATAAATCCTTACTAATATTATAAATCGGAAAGTGAGTTTGTTTGTTTGTTTGTTTGTTTGTTCCACTTTCACGCCGTAACTACTAAACAGATTGCTTTGATTTTTTACAGACGTAAAGTTAGAAGTCCGAATTAAATAATAGGGTACTTTTTATCACGGAAAAATGTGATATTTCCGAGGGAAAACAAAAGTATTGGTATAGATGGCGCTGTGTGTATTGGTATATGACATGTCACATAGGCTACATTTTATCCTTTTGTGACGCGAGCGAAGCCGCTGGTAAAAGCTAGTTATTAATAAAAAGTAAACGATTCTCAGGTCGATTACAGTATTCGCTTTTCAGTGTCATCCGGTACATTTTTCTCTGCGGTATCTTACTAAATTGTATGTTCGACGGTTCTTTTGCAGTCCTAAAATAAACCGGATAATTTACTAGACCTACATTAGTAAAACTTACTAAGTTTCACAGGGATATGCTAATTACATTATGCTGATTCCTCGACCTTATAATAGGCCGATCGAAATGTTTTAAAGACAGCAATGCTACTGCTTTATACAACAATTTTATTACCAATATGCATTTTATACTCATATTCAACAAGTTCTTGAAATAGAGAGAACGGCAAGAGGTTTAGAAAAGGTGTCAGAAATGAGGCTGCCGCAGTCACCATGACAAAGCATTAATTGTAGTCACGTTCGCTGAAACTGAGGCGTATAAAACTATAAATAAACGATGTAGTTATTTAGCTCGTAATAATTAATATTTCTGTATTACAACCATATTACAACTGACAGAATTAATTAAAAATAATTGAAATATTACTCAATTGACCTAATATAGAAATAGGAAAATTGTATGACAAAGTCCATATAGATCTGAAAAAAAAAATACTAATGATAATTCTGTTGAAACAAAATATTGATCTAATTGTCGCGTAAAACATGATAATGCCATAAAAACGATCGATTGATAAAATATTTACTTATTTATATGTAGGTAAGTAAATAAGCATACGTATAACTTATCGATAAGACTGAATGATGTGATGACATAGAAAAATATTATTAAGAAATCTTGCGTTTTTCCTTAAACGACCATTATACCATTAAACATCGACAAAAATTATCAAATCTTCATGTCAAATATTTTTGATCTGTATTTTTTTTTTGAAGCAATCGTCCCTAAGTATAACATGGCCTCACGTTAGCAATTGATAAATTAAAACCCCCTTAATTTAGAATATCACCACGTATGTAATTATGTCCTTACTAAGTACTTTTCTCGTTCACGGTGGTTTCCCGATGAGTCAACAGTTATTTAAAATTAAATTCACGATAAGTTTACGAAGGTCAATGAGTTCAAGTATAATACAGTATGATAACACGCATGAGATGATTTCCAATCCAATTTGAACATCGTATGATAAATATTATCTTCTTAAAAATATTGTCTTTATGCTCAAATAAGTGTTTCTATAAGGGTTTGTGAATCACATTTCGATGTTCGATAAAATCGAGATTACAGTAAAGATAAAAAATATCAATAAGAGGATTAACTGACATCAGTAAGCACATGTGTATCAGCTTCTTGTAGCTGTTATACTTTAGTATAATAATAAATTGCAGATATCTGCTGCAGTAAAATATAAATAACATATTGAACTGATAACTTAATAACTTTAATCAAATTGTATGCAACATTTATCTTCGAAAATCCTCAATTTATTTTCATTTACAGAAACACCACCTAAATTCATTAGACTACCTTAATATGTAGCTAATAACTGATTGAAAGTACTCGACTAGTTTCAAGCCACGACCGGCGCCCATAATCATGATTCTATTAAATTGTATGTCTTACTATAGTCTAATCTACGTTCATGGTGTTAGAAGCAGATATTTTCTTTTACTTCTCGATTCTCCCAGGGTAGATACCGCATTACCTTAGCCTGTAATAGGCAATTAGAAAAACTATTCATTCCAAAATGAAGAATTAAGCAACAGGAACTATTAAGTAGGATTGCTTTATGCGACTAGAATGCTGCCAGTCATGTCGATTGCGAAGGAGTCTCGAGAAGTGACGTCGCGAGTTCACGGTCGTTGTACAATCACTATGTCACTCATTAACATTGCCTGGCCTGTATTCGGTTAAAACTAGAATTCTTGCTTGGAGAGAGCATTTCGTAGGTATTCGATATTATTGTCTGCTGCTACTCTCTCTATTTAGAAATTAGAAGAGTAGTAAGCTCCGAAAACATCATTTTCGTAGCTATAATTAAATAAAAAAGCTGTATTAATATGCAGATATTAATAAAATTTCAACCAAAATTCGATTTTAGTATTTTCTGCCTTACAATACCATTGTAGTAACTAAGATCGTTATGATATGGGACAACACCATTGCAGGCATCTTAAGAGATTTTACAAACATTCTTCATCTTTCGTCTTAGTAGTAATAATTTGAAAATAAGAAAATAGTCACTTTGGTTTTGTCTATATGTATAATATATGCAAGTCAGGTATTTTGTCTTTACATGCAAAGTAATACAGACCATTAGACACACCTCTTTAAACAGTTAGACCAGTGTAGCGGCTAACTAGCCTAAAACCGGCTCATTTTAATATTATACCAAACTTTAAACATACATGCATACATAACTTCACAACTGTCTCCCACAAGGGTAGGCAGAGACTACACACACGGAACTGCTACGATTCTTACACACCTCTTTCGCTTCATCAACAGTCATTAGTCTTTTCAAGCATGCAAACTTTTAAATACCACCTTTATCATTATTCATAGCTTTTAGGAGCAAAAACTGATTTTCTACACACTAAACAAGCAAACAGCTAGTGCACAAAAGTTACGATGAGGAAGCGAACCATCATTTTAACTACACCTGGATTAAACTATGACCACGATTTCAACTATGAATAAGTAATGTACGCATTAGGTACACGTTTATAAAGTCCTTATAAGTACGCAGGGTACTTATGGACCGGACTTTGAACGAAGACTTTGTACAGAATCTGATTTATTTTATCATATCGCAATTGTTAAAGTCCAATGTTTTTACCATGGTCATAAGACAAGGTTCAATCAACCTAACAATTCCGTAATAGGGACATCAACAGAAAGTTTTAACAAGCTAGTGACTAGTCACTTCCGATGGCCTTAGTCAGTGAATGATGACAGTTAATAATTGTGAAAAATGTTATTGCACTTTAGCAAATAAAAGGAAATGAAGATACAAGTGGGTATTATGTGGTACAATAATAAACTGTAATTCTAATAAAACTGAGTGACGAATATGATTACGAATATTTGCATGAAAAGTCAATGCCAATAACCAAAGTCGCAGTTTTGAATAGTCATACCACAGCGATGACCATTAAATAGTAAGGTCCAAAAGAGACGTAAAACTGTCAAGTATAAAAATATTAATTAACATGACAGTAGGTTCGGTTGCTATCTTAAGCAAATAATTATAGCCTGACTATACCAAAGGTATGTGACGTGCTTCCGAAGGACACAACATTCGACATTATTTCAAACGATAAAATTATTTGGAAGACGTATAATGTCTATGTACAAAGTTCAATTTGCGGTGTTATCTTTATCTACAAGATAAACATGCAAGTCATTCTAGATATATAACTAACGTGGAGGTTGGTTAACATACCTAGCTTAGGTGTCTACATTCTCTGGGGTTAAAGTTACAAAACTTGTTTTACAACTACACAGTCTGTTCCCAGTATCTGTCTGCTTGTTGTTGCACTAGGCTGCACCGGGGCATTCAACTGACCGTTGAGAAATAAACATATTGTGTATCGCGAATCTATGAGCCTTGAGATGTCAAACACACTTAATAATTCATTATGTTTCGTTGCCCTACTTACATATCTTCATTTATTTCATACGAAATACTTAGTAATTTCGGTCACACGATGCCACATGACCAAAAAATGTTCTTTATCGTTCATACGTATAAAAAATGTGATAATAGTGTTGATATAAATAAAACATTCGATTAGAAGAAAGAGTGGAGTGGTTTTTTAAATTCTGCAATGTAATGTTGAGTTGCGTTATGCGAATCTTGTCAGATAAATTGCATAAACTGTTTATTTTTTCCTGTGCCATGTATGTACCTATTCTAAAAATGAAGTAGTTCTATTACCTAATAACATAAAAAAGTCACTTATTGAATTAATTAACATACGTAGACATCGATCACTATGTTGATGTTGAATGTCATGTGCATAAAAAATCTGTCACATGATTACATGGTATGAGTGTAAAAAATGTGAAATATAATTTGTTTGGGATAGATCCCAACCTATCACGATGATGTCGCTATTATACTACCAAGTCGGTTTCCCAAAAATAATACTGCTAAAATGCTAAGGCCATTGACCCTGCAAATCCTGATGCCAGGTCACTGAACTACATAAACAATTTAAAATTGACGCTCCTAGATTTTGGTTTTGAGTTTTATTAGGCGGCAAGGATTAAACTGACCTTATTGTTTTTTAAATTTTATCTATCCGATCGGGTAACAATAGGAAACTGTTATAATGACCACAATATTATATATGTTCTGTCGTTATAACTATGTTAATTATAAGTTTTTATATTGAGTGACAACATTATCGCATTGGGTGTAACCTGTTAGGATGTATTGATTTAAATAAATTAATAAATATTTATTGTCATCATGACCAAACGTCTGCATAACGTCAAAAACTGCATCAGTCCCATTCGTTTCTAGGCAAAAATCTCGTTACCATTAATTTTCTAAGACGACGTGTTTCTATTAGTTGCAAATAAGCTTACCTTCATGAAATCACTAATATAGTTTCCCATGCAGAAGGTCAGGTCACCGATTTCATTGGAACTGGTGCCGGTTTCACCTTCCAGGGTACCGTCGCAGCTGATAGGGGGCATGTTGTCCAACATGTTGCCCCTACCGACATCTTCATCTGTCTCCATACCTGGTGGAAACAAATACTAAGTGTTAGAAAAAACCAAAAGACCGGGTTTCTTCTTTGTATGGCCAATTTTGTTTTGTGAACTGCGGTCTTGAACCTCAGTTAAGTTTAACAGATTGGTTAGTCCATGAAGGTAAAGGTCGATGATAGTGGGATAGCTGCTTAGCGCTATAGATACATTTTGAGACATGTGGAAGCTTTACGAATAAGGATTCCATTGGAAATCCTTGTGGGACATTGTTCCCAGAACATTCCAAAATGAAGACCTACTACTGCTAATGAAATATTGTTTTGTTTAATTACTAACTGCACATCATTCAGTGTTTCGGAGTTCTATTGGAGATCGTGGCTTATAGGAGTTGCAGCGGTTTAGGAGGGCGTGTCGGGTTTATCACATAAGAAAACATTATTACGCATCAGCGCAGAAGTCTTCTTAGAAGCTCTTAAAAATTTCACCAAAAATTTGATCGCGTAGCATTTACTAGGCTGTTAGATATTCATAAGTCACCGGAAGAATAGAGGGACTAGATGTAGAATAGTCTAAGCTTGAGACATCAGTCATTCATTTTAGTGGGAAGCTGGAAAAGGAAGGAAAGGAAGATGTAAAATAGCACGCCTAATTTCGTTATGGGTCCCTTTACAACATCGCGTCTGTTCTTCCCTAGAGGGGTCCATTTAAAGGACCTTAACGTGCACGAGCTGTGATGTGAGATTCGTGTGACAGGAGAAGATCCTTTTAGATGTGGACAGGCAAATCAGTTTTAGCTGGTTGTGGTGTTCTCAGGAGAATGATACCTAGATTGAGTTACTACCTACTTTAAAGGAGAATAAAATTTTGGTTCTAGAGGTATGTGGCTTTTCTTTAAAGAATACAGATAGATATCTTATTGCGGTATTGTCTCGTATATGTTACATATTTAGTTTCCTTAATTAGTCGGCCTCGTCCTATTGATTAAATAAAATATTAACATACAATAGAAAACAAGAAATGACGCATTTAACTTATTTCCATCCAAAAGATAGATAAATATCCTAGAAAAGTGGTTATGATAAAAATAATGTAAGCATTTTTTAAGGTTTTCTGTTACTTTTTTTGCTAAGTATTTCCAGAAACCCTTGAATTCCTATTTTTTGGGTTTTTCTGATTCGAAAGCTTACAAACTAACAACAAGTAATAAATTCGCAGTCCTAAGTCTTGGAAAAATACATTGTTTTACGCCTAATTTAAATTTTACGTAAATTTTTTGGTTAAAATTAATTAAGTACACTCATTACCAAATTAAAAAAAGTAAAAACTAAATTACCAGGATAAAGGTTGCTGCATTTTGATCCAAGAGCATCCGTGTCTAATTTCATTATCACTTTTTAAACACTTAAAATACTACAGGTATTTCAATACAAATATCACAATATTTATTTGAGATCAATTTCACCACACTTTTTACACTGCACTGTAACACTGCACTTTGTTAATTATTAATTGTATAGTTTTGTTATTTAATTCCACAGTTATAGCACCTTTGGTCATCTACTGATCATGACTTTCTGAAGTCCGAGTAAGAAAGTGATGTATCAGCGGCAAGAGGCGCGCGCTTACTGACGAACAATGTATACAACTTGCTTACTGAAAGTTTGGACGTCTGGCCCTCTACCGAAATCGCTCCGAGTCATGGTGACTCTGCATAAACCCATATCGCATTTTCAATAACCCCGAATACAAAAACTCAAAGTCATTGCATATACATTTTTGATGCCACCTGGGACATCGTTATCTCAATATTTATTATTCAGTTTAAATTAATGCATAAACAGCAACCCTGTCAATTTGCTAATGTTTTTATTATAATAATCTACAATCTTAGATCCTTGAGTGATTTTGTAAGTACATACGTCACGTCGCAATGACGTTCACGCTACGCAGTTAGAGCCGCGTGAGCTTCACGCTAACGCGACGAGTACGCGTTAGTCGTGTGCGCAGCGCAGTTTTAACATATTGATGATTTTCAGAATAGAGCTGCGCTAACATATCAAAGCTAAAAGTTATATTTACAACTAATATCTGTTGAGATTGAGAAACATACAAAGAGGCTTCTTTCTTTTTTACATGATTGTGCGACATAATGACTGTATTACTTATTTGTTGTACAACACTACACAATCTAAGTATTTTAAAGTTCTCTTTCTTCTTCTCAGTCTTCATCGTGTTAATGGCACGCATACATGGTCAGTTTTCAGCTTGACCAATTTGGAATGGATATCCTTCCTAGAAATATCTTTCCTTTTTCACAGGCTCTCTGTGTTGCGGGAGTTTTCTATTAAAGTAGTCTGTGATCTGTGAGTATGATTAAATAGATCTACCATTGTGTAGGTGATCAGTTTCTGCATCTACTGTCAACATGATCCTGCACCATCAGATTTTCAATGAAGTTCTCTTTTGGGGCTATAATGGCCAAGCCAGCGGGTCTGTTTCGAAGCGTATCTCGAAGTTCTTAAACATAAGTATAGATAATAATATAAGAACCTCAGGATCACCATATGGCAAATAATCAGCGCTGCCCGCAATATCGGAGAAGTTATAAGTGGGTTGCAGGGCTTTTAAAAGGAGTGGGTACATCTTTTTCTTGAAAGTTTGAAAGTTTTATCGATGTAGAAATACCTTCCACTGTTTTATTTTGCCCGGTTGTGGACTGTGGACGATCAAACTTTATGATGGTGATGGAAATGCTGTTGTGTGAGAGAAAAGATGCAGCGGGGAGCAGTTTATACAATTTTTAATGTATTGCAGTTTAATTATAATACATATTGACTAAGAACTGTTGGGTTTATATGTATAAGTAGTGAGATAAAAATACCAACGCTTTGTTGATGCTTTCGTCTGTTGGCGATAACATAGATTTTTCTCTTTGATTAATAAATTTAAATTATCCTTACAATGTCTTCTGCGCCCGATGATCATGATAACATGATTTTGAGATCATGTATTTCGAAAGAACGTCCGACAGATTTCGGACCCGAACGGAGCCTCAACTCTGAGGTCATGTTAATCTTTAGATTCTAGTTACTTTAAACTTCAATCTAAATGGGAGTCCTTTATGATCGTAAGCATAATCAATTTGCGCGGTAGTTAACTATGTGAGGTCGTTCAATGACTGTTGATTTTAGTAAATGTTAGCGTAAATTCTGCTTAGGTGTATTAAGCGATAAGCTTGCGGTTCGAGTCGTGCAAACAGGCTTGTCCTTGACCATTGGTCTATTAGTAAACACAAACATCAGCAAAACGTGCGAAGCGCAATCTACGACACTGATCCCTTTATTGACTAATCCTAAAATATAATAAACATTACTCAGCACAACACATGCTTCAGATAATCTATGTTTCTGTCTCTTTTTTTACATTAAATAAACAACTGCGCGAATGAGATAGAAATAGAGAGTAGTAGATAATAGAGATAGAAATAAAGAAAAGTAACGACTTAACATTACATTTATCAGAGGAAAAAAGTGCGAATGTAGGGGATTTTTATGATGACGTAGGGGCTTCCATTCAAGAGATACCATATTGAAAGTAATGGGATGATCTTGAAATTATCCTGTTTGCATCACACATTACCCGATGTAAGAAGATATGGAACTGTCCAAATAATTATTAAAACTGGAAACAAAAATCAGGACTTTGACCACATACAATTTCATGTATGTTTATGTTGAGAAACATCAACACATTTGTACATAGTTGTATTATTACATAACACCGAAATTCAAAGCTATTTACAACCATTAATAAGAATTAAACATTGGACATTTTATTATCCAACAATGACTTTGCAGAATACTAAGATTTTTTTAACAAAAAAAGAAGTTAAAACCTCATTAGTATGTATATCTTATCATTATTATAATTTGCTAGAAACACCTTTAAGCTTAGTTTCAACATAGTGACTAGTGTATACTTTTACAATATGAAGTAGGTAATTCACATAAATTATTTCCAATTGGTCCTCGTATCAATAATTTGGAACCTACACATACACTACATTCTATGAATTGCTGTAATCATTTTATACTAAAAAAGTTAGATGGTCAAAGATAGAGTTATGCAAATATACACAATATTAATTTATTGTTCAAAGGTGGTGAAATTCAGAAGCACACATTAAAAAGTGAGTAAAAATTTCTCTGTAGGCAGATTTTTATATTTATTCATTTGTATGATGACAACCATTTAATACTGTTTTGTTTAAGTGGGTAGTAGGTATGTTGGGTAAAAGCAGGGGGTAGTTTTGCTGGCACCTTCTATGCTAATTTGAATTAGAATCATGTATAGGTTTGGAAAGTAATTGTAAATGCAATGAATAAGACAATAACATAAACTTTTAGGAAATCCTAAAGAATTTTTACTCCAGTTACTCTCTAAATTCAATGGTTAGAAAAAATACTTATTGTTGGTTTTAAACTGTCACTTCTTTTTTTTTAATTAGTAATTTAGGAAGTACCATCAATGTGTTTTGGGTGGGTGTTTTAGTATTGAAATATTACAAAATTATGGAAAAGACATTATTTACTGAGAAAGTTTATTTATCTTAATATCCAACATGTAGGTTTTATTCAAAACCACATTATGGACAATTTCCAGTCTGGACTAATCTTAACAGAACATCATTAGGAATAAGTTAATATGGAATAGGAATTTGGTATTATAAGTGGAGTCTCTATTCTAATCAGCATTTCTCTAGAATCTATAGACTTACACAGAAAACCATAACTAGTTTATTGGGAACTTTAAATGACAATTAAATTAAGTGACTTGCAATATTAAGTAGATGTTGACTTGAGTTATTTTGCTTGAAATGTATTGATGATTTCATTTACCCTACAAAATGCATCTTGACCTCTTTCAAGACTTTAAATTACAAACTTCAAAAAAGTGATAAGAGTGAAGTTATGATAGTAACCATTTACATTATATATACATATATTAAATATTGCATTCTTTACAGATGGATACTTATCAAAAATATCTACTTCTCATTATCATGAAAATAAACTTGTATTTACCATATGTAAGTATGGGTTTTATTGCCTGAATAGATACATTTAACCTAATAGTTTTGATTCAATTATTACACTATTATGAGAGATATATAATGGAAATAGGCACAAAAATAATAAAAATAATATTTTAGTAAATGTAACGTGATCATTGATTCTTACCTGATGTATATATAATTCTTTATGTGGTGTCAGTAAAAGATTAAATGCACTTGTAACTTATGAGGGGCCTCAGTACATGCAGTTTAACAAAATACACTACAAGTTATAAAATTCATAATAAAAATATAAAATTCACTTGATTCAATTGTTATACACAAATATACGTCACAAAATCACTGAATTATGTATCTGGTTCTTGGAATGACTTAATTGTATTAGTATTATATTAATTTAAGAAATAGAATTTAATGTATATTGACTAAAAAATAATTTTGCAATTTGCTCCTTGATTGACAAATGAATGACATTGACATTATTCTGGGTTACCAATCTATCAAATATTTACCACTAATAGATTGGGTATTTCAAGTTCAATGATTAGTGGTGGAGTTTCATGGCATCTCCAGCCATCTCTGAGAAATAAATTATAATTTGGTATAGTGAATTTTCAAAACTAATATTAGATAGTTTCATTTTATCCATACCTTATTATCATCGGAAACGAATGTAAATTATTTGAATAATAATTATGTGAAGATTTTATATTACACGTATAGATTGTTATTTATGCATATAATGCGTGTAATATAAAAATTTTCAATGATTAGATACATATACGTAAATGCAATTAGACATTCGCAAGCGCTATATTACATTTTCGACATTATTTATTGAAGTAAGTGAAGTTATGAACGCAATAATTTTTAATTATTTCGTAATTCGTGATATTATTCTTTTTATTTCCTATATTAATTATTTTTTTAAACATACTATTTTATTACTAGTTTATTAGATAGTACCTAAAATTGGGGTAAATTTTGATAATGGCAAGGATACTCCCTTTGTTTCTACCATAGAGTTTTCTACTTGCTACTAGAGTTGTACATCGTGATCATGGCACATATCGATAAAGTAAAATACGTTTATTTAGTATTTTTTTATTAAAGGATTGGGCATTTAATTTCATGAATACAATGAAAATATTCTTTATGCCTAACTTTACTGCTAGGATACTAACATTTTATATTATATAGACTAGTAACTGTGTGATAATGATATTATTGATACTAAAAAAGCATAAAGCTGTGTCCTTGTCACCGCACTCCATTCAAGTCCAGTTAAAAAAAAATCTACAAAATCGACAATGGCAGACGCAAAGCAAGGTAAGATTTAGCATTTTTCTTAGTTTTTTCATAATTTTGCCATCTCTATTATGTGGTTTCGGCATGTTTCCCTTCAATAATGCAGCCCAAACATTTAGGAGATTAATAATTGACTCATAAAGTGGTTTATTTAACTTTGTCCATGCTGCATCATCAACGAATTCTTTTTGTTATTTCATACATTTTTTTTTCCATATCTTTATAGAAATTTAAGATTATTAGGATTTTCGGTACATTCTTCCTGTCGAATTGGATAATTTTCTTTGAAATAGAAGGAAAGAATGTTGTTTCAATTCTTGGTATTATTCACCATACTGCTCGTTTACGAGAACTACTTTGCGACTTTTTTACAAAACGAGACATGCAGTTGGACAGTGGGACCGTTTTAAACTTTTGCTTGTCTCATATTACTAAATATTATATTAGTTACTCTTAGACATCAAATTGTAATAATATCAATGACCTTTTATCATTTTGTATAATGAAGCACGTCATAATGCAAAGTGTTTACAGTTAAACTGTAGTAATCCGTCAAAATATTGTTATAAACGTTAGACTAAATCAGTTTCATATAAGATTTAAAGTGGGATTGTACTTAACCCTATAAATAGTGACTCATCATAGGTCAGCTTTGGCTATTTGTAAGTTGTTTAAAAGTTATATTGTTTTAGGTAAATCACCAATTGAAGACTTCTACAATGGGCCAGCACAAGCTAGAGTGGTTCTGGCAAAGCCTAGACTTGGTGGTTTTGGTTCGGCCAACGCAGCATCAAGTTCTAATAAACCATGTAATAATCCATTTGGTAAGAAATTCACTATTCTAATTATTCATATTCCTGATATTCTACAATGCAGTAACTTATTTTTTCACACATGATTTTTAATTTGGAAATAACTGTACATAAAATAAGGTATCTATGAAAGTAATAATTTTTGTATTCAGGTTCCATTCTGCGCCCCTCTCAGCTGAAACCTGGTAATAATCCATTTTTAAAAGTTAATGAAGCAACTGAAGATACTCCTGAGGCTACTAAAGAACAAGAGGAAACTTCGGATGAAGAGGGATTGCAGGAAACCAAACAAGAACCTGAACCACCTAAGTTTGTACCACTGGGTTCTGCAAATGTTACCCCACGGACCAACACAGCTGCACCCCCAGCAGTACAACCTGCTCCAAGCTCTTCAGGATTTGTATTTGGACAAAATTTAAGTGAGAGAGTTGAATTGAAGGAAAACATCAACAATGGTGAGGCTTCAACCACAGACCACAGCTCCTCCAATGGTGCAACAGAGTTACTGTTCACTAGTGCTGCAGCATCTGTCAAAGATAATCAGGTTCGTGTTGGGTAAAACTTTAGAAGGCTTTAGCGAATGTTGCTAATGCTGCTATTATAATTATCCATTTCATGTATTAGTTACTTCACCTTTTATTTGCTGGCTTGATAGTATTGATTTATTTTATATTAAAGTAAATTAATGAAACTAAAACTGACCTGTAATATTGTTTAATAAATTATATATTATGAATAGATGCAATAATAAAATATTTAAAAATTTGATAAATGTCCATGGACTTCATCTGAATGTCATTGAGAAGGCCTGTCCTGCTGTGGCTGACATAGTGATAATGATGGTGTGGATTTTTATTATTCAAATATAACATCACACCTATTTCATGATTTTTGCACTCATTGCAATTTGCTGTAATGTGTTTTTTATTTATGTCATGTCTATCAACTTCCATTTATGCCTAAATGCATAAAATGTAACTGTATAGGTAGATCAGATGTTCTTCACCTGCTATCCATATTTGTTTATTATAACACTATCAGTACATTACAAAATTCGAAGTGAGAATGTAAGTAATACATGTGCGTGTATCATGTGTCAGGAGGACAGTAATCAAGGCGAGCCGTCGAGTGGCGACGGGCTGGCGGCCGCAGCGGCCGAGTACGAGCGCTCGCACGCGCGCCCGCCGCCGCCCACCGCGAACTTCACTATCACCGGCGAGGAAGGCGAAATAAATGTCATGCAGGTACCTGTTATGATAACGGCTTTATTTTTATACTACAAATACAAGTTCATTACTTTGTATAAAATAATTGTAAACATGTGTTTATAAGTTGTAAGTAATGTCTACTCCTTTTTTTGTAGTACTATATTTTTTCCTACTAAATACGTTTTCCCTAACAGTGTAAATAATATTGACAAAATATTGTAACTTTGCAGATATCGTGTCGTTTGTTCGCGTGGGAAGCGGGCAGCTGGCGTGAGCGGGGTCGTGGCGTGCTGCGACTGAATGACGCGCCGGCTGGCAGCGGCGGCGCCGCCAGGCTCGTCGCCAGGGTGGCGGGCTCCTTGCGCGTCGTACTCAATACCAAGCTGTGGCCCGACATGGTCGTGGAGCGAGCCGGTACTAAGTCACTTAGAATCACCGCCGTTGATGCTCAACAGCAGATCAAATTATTTCTTATAATGGTGAGTATAATCAGATATGTTTGCAATAAAACGCGTACATATTTAGTTTTACAATTTAGTAATGATCTTACAACATGATTAAAATTTCAGCAAATATAGTAAGAATCAAACGACACTATGATTCTCTTATAAACCACGTTTAAAAAATCTTAACATTCTTTTTTTTTTAAGTCTGTTAATTAATATATTTCTGCTAAGTGTAACCAACAATTTTCTGAAAACCTCATTAAAATCGGTTCAGCCAATTGCGAGATAATCGCGCACAAACATACATACAGGTCAAATTGAGAACCTGTTTTTTTGGAGTCCGTTAATAAAATGTAAATTATTTTTATATGTCGTACCACTTTCTAACCATTATTATATTATTTTTGCTATTTTTAAGGTATTTTTCAATATTACGTTTTTAGTAATTGCTTTTCACAACATTTCGTTTCATGTGTTTTTCAGGGTGCACCCGGAGATATAGTTCAGTTGTACAGGGCTCTCACGGCCCGAGTTTCTATGAGCAAGCGTTCGACGTCATCCAATACAGGTTCACAGAACGCCACCTCACAAAAAGCCGCTGAAAGGTTGGAAGCGGCCGCTGACGAGGAGGATTACCTTGGAAAACCCGGTGATGAACAAGACGATGCCGTTGACGACATCGCTCTCGATGACGATGATGACAATGAACCAGCTAACAATGAGAGGCTAGAAGCCGATCATGATGAACAAAAGACTGAAGAACACGAGTCCAACGTAGACGGCATGAAGCCGGACAAGGAAAGCAAGTCACTGAAGCGGAAAGAACCGGCGGAGGACGAGACGTCGCCCAAGAGACAGTGCCCCGAGATATTAATAGAGTGATAATACTGTAATGATGTTAACAACATGTTGTATAAACTTTTAAACGTGAAGTAAATGTGGACATGGTTCATTTGTTCGACATCTGCTGAAGGCTCTGGGTTCAAATAGAAATCTTTATGTAAATGTAACTAATAATAGATAATGTGTAGAAATATTTATGATTAAATTAATATAGCATTTTACAACATTGTTGATTATTACTAATGGAGGTTCCATTTCTAATAATTATAGCGACCGCACACGCATTTGAGAAATAGTTTGAGTACAAAGTAAAGTGGCCGCAGTATTACATTATGTGCTATGTAAACAGCTCAAAATTCTGTTCTCACATTCCAATCGTTGCATGCGAAAGCAAATGGTTGTTTAGCATGTTCGGCCAGAGCTGAATACCAAATACAATACTGATGTGGTTTATTTTCTGATAGATTTTGAAATAAACTATTTCGCAATAGAACACATTGTTATTAAACACCCGTTTTCCTGTTTCCTGTCCCATGTGTACTCCGTGTCTATCCAAATATAAGTATATGTTGTATATTCATGTAGTCAAGCATTTCTGTGTCAATTGTAAAATATCGTAAGAGCGTCTTACGAGACCATTTTTTGAACAATCTTCAAAAATATATTTATTTTTTCAATGGTATTTGCTCTTTACTGCTTCATAAATTCGCTTATTTGTGGAAGGGAGAAGTGACTTATGTACAACGACAAAACGTAGATAAGTACACAGTAATCAAATAATGAAACATACATATTTGATGAAGGGCCAATTCCCTCAAATCAGTTTGTTTACAGTACTTATTAGCCAAACTACTTAATTGACTGAGAATACGTATTTTCGTGTCATTAATTTAATTGAAATGTCGCAAAATTAACACTCCGTGGTTTGTAAGCTACAGTATGATTTTATAAATATTTCGTTTAATTTACATTCGAGTATACATACTTCATTGAGTTCTAAATTACATGACTCATAAGACGCCATGTAAGAAGATTTAATGATGACTGGAAATGGTTAGTGTCATAAAGAGAAGAAGATGAAAATTCTTTTGTATGTAGATAACCAGCTTCAACATCATGTTAGCCACAAGACACTGACATTCCCTCGCTGAACGTAGGCCTTACTTACTGGCAGTATAGTCGACAACATTGTATTGAAGACTCCGTTGCCAATAAGAAGATAAAAAAATGACGAACAGCTAAAAGACTAGCTGGTTGGATTGGAAGCAACCTGCGTCCTGATGTCAGCGGCATCCTGCAACCTCTAATAAGTCATCGGACTCGTCAATTCACTTTGTACTTTGGACGTCATTCGAGAAAATTTTCGTCCGCTACTGGTGCTTGCGATATCGTTGGCACCATTCACATCTTTTTAACTATATTATTCCACAAATGGAGCACGCTGTAGCTATATAGTTAATTATGTACTTACACTTAAGTAGCCTCAGTAGGTGCTATTTCATAGTGACACATTAAGTTAATTAACTATTTTGACTAACAAGTCCTTGGCTACGTAAACATTTGAAGAAACAGATCGGAGTTATCAACAACTAAACTGTAATACCATATCAAAATGGAAGATAATGTAGCATACTCTACGTTTGAAGGCTTTAGGCCTCACTTTGATGCATTAGCCAGGGTCGGTTATTTCAAAATAGTTCTAAAACCCATTTCTTCTTTGAAACGATTCTTTCACAACGTCTATCGTATTATATCGTGGAGTTTAATTCTAACGTACAACTTGCAGCATGTTATAAGAGTAGTTAAGGTAAGAAAACCGACGTGAAACAACACTTTCGTTGTGTTTCGTCAAGTGAGTGAAGTTACAGGAGGCCCAATTCCCGCCCCCTTCCCCAATCTCCCCAAGCCCTGTATCCTCAACAATCCTCAAATTCTTAGTCCCCAAAAGGGCCCTTAACACACTTGTAACGTCTCTGGTGTTCCAGATGTCCATTGGCGACACCGATTGCTTACTATTAGGTGATCCGTCTGCTCGTTTACCGGCTTGTCCCATAAAAAAAGAAGTTTAATCTAGACTAGACTGTTGTAAAGTTAGACAGGGTCCGAGTTCTTCCTAGGTTTTCTAGTCTCATCATCTATCGTATATTCTGGAAAGCCATCGTAGGAACTGTAGACGAAAAATAGTCATCAAGTTTAAACTTGCGAGTTTTTAATTTCAATTTTGTGTATTTACCCGATGTATCAGGTCCGCCACAGCTTCAATCTGATAGTGGACACACTGTTCATTTTGTTAACAACTCTGAACACGTTGGGGAAGCAAACTGCCTTCAATCTGAGGTCTCGTCGCATTGATGACATCATCAGTATCATTAACGGTAGGTGTAACTTCCTAAATTCTGATGTCTACATATTTTATGTAGGTTCAGTTTGCAAATTACGTTATAAATAACACAACTTGTGTATGGCATTAAATCTCACCGGTGTACATATGGCAATAGGCTGAATGGGATTAAAATACCAATTATAATATAAGATTCACGAACTGGTGAAAAATTGTAAAATTTTGTGGTTAGGAAATCCCTTCAGGGATTATTTCTTGTGGTGTATGCGGAATACCCACCAGGTCCTGTAATTAAAGGTATGTACCTATTTAAAAAAGGAACCAAGAATTATCAAAATTTTAGGTCTAGGAATGTGCGGATATACTCAATTACTACTAAGGTACATGTATCAATCAAGTTAAGCATTTTTTAAATATTTTCTTCTTGCATAGGACCAACCTTCGCAGCAAGTAAACCATATCATGTGGAGGTTCTGAAACAGAATGCGTTAGTCATGTCCCGACTGCTGACTTTGTATCATGGCGCCATATTTACTTGCGGCACTCTGTGGACCGTGTTCCCGGTTGTTAATAGAGCTCTTGGCAAAGAAGTGCAATTTACTGGCTACTTTCCATTCGAAACAACAAGCACGTTAGCGTAAGTTAAATAAGTTACATTTTGCTTCACCGCTTCATATCAAAACCTGACAAAAAAGTACAAATTTTAGAAATTGCTAGCCTGCTATTTATATTCAACAAATGAGACGCATCTACAACATTACCAATATCCGTAGACAGTATCTACACAAAACGTATCAAATAAAACTAAGACAACCGCATATCAATTTTTAGATTCTCGCTGGCATTGGCCTACATGACCGTTCTGATAACTTTCCAAGCTTATGGAAACGTAACAATGGATTGCACGATCGTAGCGTTCTATGCGCAAGCCAAGATTCAATTACAGATGCTGCGGTATAATCTCGAACAACTTGTGGAATTTAGGAATATTAAGAAGTTCAATTCAATAAAAACTCAATACAGAGACGAAGGAGAAGAGAAGACAGAACTGCAGGAAAGATTGAAGAAATGTGTGAGACATTATGATCAAATTGTAAGGTGAGCTTGGTTAATTAACATGTATGTACCTGTTGTGTACCTGTTCATTAGGACCTAACCTAATGATTAGGTAACAATTCCACCAAAATCTCAAAAACCTCTCATATCTGACGATCATCCATAAATCAATACAAAAGATTATGAAGAAACAGTTTTAACTAAATCTTCTTTCTGTTCCAGATATGCAAAAGAAGTTGAGTCGATATTTGGTGAAGCAATGGTCGTACAGTTCTTTGTGATGGCTTGGGTCATATGCATGACCGTGTACAAAATTGTCGGTGTAAGTTCATAATTCCCAAAGAAAAAGTTCTACGGTACAGTACAATTTAATAACTGACGAATCTTCGCATTGTTTGTTTCAGTTAAGCATATGTTCTGCGGAGTTTGTATCGATGGCCGTGTATTTGGGTTGCATGTTAGCCCAGTTGTTTATTTACTGCTATTTTGGGACGCAACTCAAAGTTGAGGTAACTGATTGAGACATTAAACGCACGTGTTGCTCAGTAGACGATACTTCTTTGAGAAGGGATAAGTTGATTGCGAATCTATACACCGTACCTAATTGGTTAAAAGCTTCATAAGAAAAATAAAGCGTGTTAGTTTTGCAGAGGTATGTGTGAATGATATAATGCATTTGTTTGCAGAGTGAGTTAGTAAATCAATCAATATACTGCTGTGATTGGTTGTGCCTGTCGCCTCAGTTTCGAAGACAATTGCTAGTGATGATGCAGTGCTGTGGTCGGCCACTAGCTCCCCGCACTGCCTACGTCATCCCCATGTCTTTGGATACTTACATACACGTAATGCGTTTATTATCATTGACTAAGGATATTTTTTACTGAAGTTTCAGTACTTATTTTCAGATTTTAAATATGATACGTATTTTTACAGGTGCTGAGATCTTCATACACATTGTTTACGTTCTTGAATCGCTAGAGGGCTTATTTATTTTACGTCACCAAACCTAATATAAGTCATCGTTTTAAACAAATTAGGTGTTAAAGTAAATCTAGAAGGGTTTAGAATAAAACTAGAGATAGAAAGAAGCGGGGAAGCACAGAAGAGGATATCAATGGTTGCCGGGTGGTTGAAATTATTTCATTGCAATTTATCGCAAGATGAAAACATCACAATACTGCGAGTTCTTGACTTTTATTCTTGTGATCTCAGCACAGAATAGTATTAGAGGTCGCTCGTAAAATTGACCACCGTTTGATTCATTGCGCCTATTTACTGCCGTTTTATGGCCCAACGCTGCCTGAAGTAAACCGTAGTCGATCTGAAATTCCAGCATTGTTCTCTAGTTGCTTCTTACACCGGTTGCGTGTACACTACTTACTAGTTCTAATTTATTAATTGCGACTCGACGTAACGCCTCTAACACGAGCTTACGTAGCCACGAAGCTATTTAGGCGTCACGACGCAAAAGAAAGCACCATTGTTTTGTCTGAAAAATAAACATAAAACACTATAAATAAATATCGGTGTTTTATTTATTAGTCGCAGCGTTTCCACAAGCTGGTAGGCGCTATAATTATTTTAAGCACAGTTTCTTGAGTGAATCGCTTAACTTTTGTGTGAGGTACGTACGGTGTGACTCACGCGGACTCTGCCAGACAATCCAGGAGCCCGAATCGGCGAAACCCGCCTCTTCAGTGCTCCGTACGACGTAAGTGCTGAAAGTCGTGTAAAAAGTTGTATCCGGCCGCGAATAGCGCGTGTGGAATTCCGTTTATAAATACGCGAGTGCGGGCGCGGTGAGAGAAGTGTTCACGGCGGCGGCGGTCAGCGGCCGAGGGAGGCGTGCTGCGCAGGGCTGCGGGCGGACCGCGGCGGCAGCGCGCACTCGCGGCCCGCAGGCATGCGCGCGCGCCGATGATATTCACGGGCGGGGGGGCGCGCCGCCGCACCTCGCCCGCGCCACGCGTGCGCGTCCCCGCCCGCCCGCACCAGCGACTCCATGCCGACTATGTGAGTCCCAGCGTCCATTAACTATTTACTAATAACGCTCTCTATCCACTTATCAACCGCTCAATAACTCTTCTCTTCGTGCGGCTAGGTCAGTTAACGCGAACATTTGATCTTCTTTCATTGTCTACGCTAGACGATAATTAATTTTTTTTGAACGAGCTAGTTTTGAATAGTGCACTAGCGCACTCTGTGTAATACGGATTTTGAACTGATTACCTGGTTTTGAAATTGGTTAAAAGCTTTGTTACTTAACGCGAATTCGTATCTACATTTAACTGTAGCAATAAAGCAGTTATTTGAGGATGAAGGAGGCATTAAACGACTGAGAGATATAAATTCTATTCAGCAATTAAACGAACATAACGGATGTAGCAAATGCAATAAACAGAAAATGATAACTATAAATCTCAATACATCACGTCGCATACCGAGTCTAATTGACTTTTTCTGATTTCAATTTAATTTAGAAACCAATTACCTAACGTCAACAAGCAAATCAAACATTTTCCCAGGTCAATATTTCTCCACAAATGTCTGCCATGATATATTTGTAAGTAAACATTTCGACAGATCGTTTAAACTGTATCTAAGTGCTTGCAATTTGTTATATTTCTTCTTCGTATTGAAATAAATGGCGACGGATGTGAGATTCAAGAAAACATCGCATTGTAATTTGTTACGAATATAAATCATTTTTATGGAATGTTTGTAGGTGTCTATACTTACAATTATCGTTAACCTAAATCAGATAATGTTTAGATGTGTTTTGATAAACATTTATGAATGTTGGTATCCCAACTTCAATGTAACATGCATCACTGGCTAGATTTGGAAAAGATGGATGGAAGATAATAATATGTCTCTCTTCTATAGGAATGATGGTAGAAAAGTTGAAAACCATAAGACGTGTGTGTATGTGCGAAGGAAAAGAACAGTAACAGCAATCAAAAAGAGGTTTAAGGTAGACTGCTTGAAGAATGATTTATGAAATAAAATGTAAGTTCCAGCGATTGATAGGTAGTGGACAATGTGAAAGAACGGAACATATCGTGTCCATTACATCCAGATCCAGAAAAGAACAGAAAGAAAAGCTTCAGAAATGTAGTGTAAGATGCCCTTTTTATGGAAGCCTTATGGTAAGCCAGATGGGGAGGCAATATCCGCAAGGTGGCGCGTAGCTGCAGGATGGGAAGAATTGAAGGTCGAGGCCTCCTATTGAAGAGGCCTATGACCAGCAGGGAACAAAAATAAGCCGACTATAGCGATAAAATTTCCAATTAAAAGCCTGTAGACAGAAAGGCACGTAAGCACAGCCACCACAAGGTCTCTTTAAAGATTGAATAGGGTCCTACATTCTCATTACGACGTGAAATGACCTAGTAGGTACTAACACAAAACATAGATATTACTCACGCAATATTAAAACATGGATTTGTGAGATATAGCAAATAATAGCTCTCAACGAGTAGAAGCTAAAGTTTATTTCATTTTTGCGCAATAAAAAGCATAGCAATCTTCATTTAAATATTTATGTCTTGTTTTTAAAAGCTGGTTGTTACTATTCGTTCGATATTCGGTTTATGATGTTTATGTTTCAGGGTATACAAGTAGTTGAATTATGATATCTATTGTTAGACTTACGAAGTACGAACTCACATCGCTTCATCGAGATCAAACGAACAACGTTTTGATTAAAATATTACCTGAAATTTTTACAATCATTCTCGTTGTTTACAGGCGAAATAATATTATGTCAATAAAAATCTGTTATTACATTTTGGTTATTAGGAAAAGCTAGATCAAATGTCGGAAGTTATTAAAATCAAATTTACCTGTTAACTAAAAATCGCGAGTTACTCGCATGAATATACTGAGTAAAGCTCTACTAGTTTCCATACGGCGATGTCGCGCAGCCTACTGACATCGCCGGGACTGCGCACGCCGCTCATGAGGAAGAACCCCTCTGTGGTTCGAAACTAGTAGAGCTATTCTCAGTATGTTCACGTGAGTAACCCGCGATTTTTACTTAATTGAGTATGTCTCACGATAGTTATTAAAAAGTTTACCTGTTCCTAAGGTTACTTAAATAAGTATATTCACGTGAGTAACCCGCGATTTTTACTTAATTGAGTATGTCTCACGATAATTATTAAAAAGTTTACCTGTTCCTAAGGTTACTTAAATAAGTATATTCACGTGAGTAACCCGCGATTTTTACTTAATTGAGTATGTCTCACGATAGTTATTAAAAAGTTTACCTGTTCTTAAGGTTACTTAAATAAGTATATTCACGTGAGTAACCCGCGATTTTTACTTAATTGAGTATGTCTCACGATAGTTATTATAAAGTTTACTTGTTTCTAAGGTTACTTTGGTAACCTCAAATGTGATCGTTAAGTGTTATGACCTCAAAATATTTCCAAAGGGAGTTAATCTTCATAACTGGAAAATAATTGCTTTTGTGCCACCTCTTTGGAGATTAGTAAGGTGTGTGACGTGATATTACGTTCTGTATCGGAATCTAGCCTGCATTTTCCTGTTTTCCATTCATCACGTGCAACGCGCTCGCTCGCTCCACATCCATGAAAGTATATTCTGTACTGAAAATATTACAATTGTGTTACTATACACTTATAGTAAACCTGTACTGGCTATGTTTGACAAAAATATTCAGTTTTGTAACGAATGACTTATCTGATCTGAACACATCTGCAATAAAAGGATTTTAATAAATGGGCCCCAAATATGAAAATCAACTATTTTAAACGGTACCCCACTCTATGATTTTTTACTGTATTGTAAGTACTGTACTGTAAGTGCGTTTACAAACATACAAGTTCACATACACATCACACCCAGACCTAGAACAACAATATGTGGATCACACAAAGAATTGCTCCGAGTGGGAATCGAAGCCACGACACCTTGCGCGCAGCCTGGGTAACCAGCCAACCGTGTTGTTCAGAGTATATTTATTTATAAATGTCCAGTAAGGCCTACGTACTTAGAAACTTAATCACGATGTCAAATCAAAGTATTGAATACCAGAACGTAGTGTTTACAAGCAAATTATTAACGAACCGAAGATAACGTCATCGCACTTCACTTCAATGATTTCTCATATGCTTAGCAGTAAAGATGTCATTATTTTGTTATGATAACGAGTGATACCTGAATGTGCGCTGACGCATAACGCGTAGAACAGTGGAACAGCACCATGAAGCGAGCATTGGGTTCCGTCTATTTTTACTCCTGCATTTACCGCGCAAGCTACTCAACCTTGATGCTCCTCGCGCGATACTTTCGAAGCCACGTTCAAGTTTATTTCACCTGGAAATAGAATATAATAATATGTCATTTCACACCAGCTATACCTTAAACACGTACCTGCTTTGTGTAAAGCAGAGGCGCATAAATTTCCGGTATTATATTTGGACCACGCACTATTATCTGAAACCTACAAAACGAACGCTTTATATCGGACCCAAGTCTAAACCATATGTTACTAATAACCACAAATACAAAATAATGAATATCTACATTGTCAAGATCAAGTACCTCCTATACATAGAAGAAAGGTGTAGGCACGTAGAAGTGTGTTTCGGAGCAAAAATTTCGTGGTTACAGTTGTGAGTACAATCTAAACTACGAGAACCTATGTAAGAAAAACCGAATTTTATATATACAGGCCAAATAAAAAAGTAGAACAAACACGCTATCTCATGTATAGTATTAGTATGAATATCAAGTGGCAGCTTTCAGCCGTTACTGCTGTCAAAACTGAAAGAAATATGATGTTTAGATGTAAGTCTGGATTCAGTGTTTTATTTCCCAACAACCCTGGCCTAATTCTTTGGGAGAACTGCGATTGTTAGCTACACCGACGATGAAGCCGACAAACAAAATAAGTGTGGGAGAGCCATGCTTCGGCACGAATGGGACGGCTCGACCGGAGTGATACCATGCACGACCTCACAGAAAACTGACGTGAAGTAACGCTTGTGTCGTGTTTCGTCATGTGAGTGAGGTTACCAGAGGTCCAATTAACCCCCCCCCCCCTTCCCCAATCTAATCCCTGAATTCCCAACAATCCTTAAACTCCTTATCCCCAAAAGGCCGGTAAAGCATTTGTAACGCCACTGGCGTTCCAGGTGTTCATGGGCGACGCCCCGTATGGTTGTTTACCGGCTTATTCCATAAAAACAGATATAATTACCTCTCAACCTAAAGCCTGCTCACACATAGGACCTATTTAGATTTTAATCAAATTTTCCGTGGTGCTTGGCAACTGGGCTTCTCCCAGTCGTGCAGTCTCTTGTACCTTTAGGCGTTTTTTTTTAAGTGGGGAAAATCATCGAATGACTTCTCCCGCCTGGGTGAATCGGGAGGGAGTGTCAGACTCTTACTGACTAAAAACCACCCCGTTCCTTCTCCTGCACGTCGAGCCGGAGCCCCGGTTATCCGTTAGGTTCTCCGCGACAGTACCTTTAGGCTTAAGTCGTTCCGCCTCCTGCATAAATTCACTGAGGGAAGTGAAAACTATCTTTCTTTTTCTTCTTCTCTATTAATATCTTCTGATTCATTTCGTTTCGGGGTCCATTCGGATCTAAGGCATTAATGTCCCTGGGACACATGATTGTATCTACTGTAGATCCTGGCTTACAGCGGTTGCAGCGCTTTTGGGGGGCTGTGGCGGGCTTGTCCCAATAAAAAAGTAGGGACTTTAGTTTATTCTGAAATGTAAACTAAGAATAATTTTTGTTGTGCTGTGTGTTGAGAATTATACCTACTTTCCTAAACATAAACAAAACAATGACTAAGCTTAAATAGTTATGAATAAATTATCAAGTTTTTTGCAAAAGGTAGGTATTATATGTATTTATGTAAGTCATTGGTAAATATAAAACAACAGAACAGGGAACAGTGAACTTCTGAAGGATAAATTATTATCTATTCAAGTAGGCATGATGTGGCAAATTTGATCACGTACGTAGTATACAGGGTGTGTTGTGGCGACACCAGATGATGACGACGATGTACCTAATTACGACTCTGGAAGTCTGGACCTATATTATGAGAATAAATAAAGTTGATTGATTTTTATAAGATTGTAATGGAATTAAATTATATAAGATTGTAATGGAAATTCGCTATTTAAGCTGTCGATATTAAAAAATAATTCAAATGTTACACAAATTGTGCTTGTGGATTTTTAGGAGCTAAGAGATTATAGTCTGTTATTTAAAAGAAGTTGCAATTTTCTTTATTTCTATTCCTCGAACAACCAAACACCCTGTATAGACTTGCAATTTAGGCATAATATATGTATTTATAGATATGTGTATATAATCACCATCATTCATCTAAGTTACTATCATGGTGACTTGCTGTTTTACTAAAACAACTACTTATGTCTTGTAATTCTTTAAACAAAATAGCGATAACTACTTAGTACGTCATAGCTTTTGAATATTCAGAAACAACATGCTTTATTATTTTTTATTTTTTTTTAACTTTGCTCCACACTCGCATTTTCTCCTGTGTCATGGGTGCGTTTACAAACATACAAGTTCACATACACATGACACCCAGACATGAAACAAAAAAATTGTCACATACAAAGAGTTGTTCCGTGCGGGAATCGAAACTGATAGGTACACGTTGCGCGGCAGCCAGTTGCCCAGTCACCGCCCCAACCAACCAAACAAATGAAATCAATTTTATAGCACATTAATTAATTAAAGATGTATTTATAAATATTTTAGAAACACTTATATTAATATCACCAGAAGTCGGTCTGTCAGGCAGGTTGAAAGTCGTACTATTTCAGAAGCCTTTCATATTTTTTACCCTAGGTGGAAAGATAAAAGAATCAGTTTAAGTACCTCTAGTGGTAAGCAAACTTAGGTATATATGACACAATTAAATGACAAACTGAACAAATATGTATGTTATCATCGCAAAGTGATAATTCATTTTGCCAGTCTATGGGACACCTAAGTGACCATATATCTAAATATATAGAAGAATAAAGCATATTTTACAAATAAAACGATTTGAGAAGCAAAGTTAAATGAGCAATAATCTGGTTGTTTTCTACCATCGTTAATCAAAGCTGACCCTAGGAATCCAGTGTTAGAATTCTGCCAATCTAATTTACTTTGATGTAGCGGCGTATCAATGGAAAATCAATTGAGCGTGACTTCTGTACTCTAGTTTGAGTTGTGTCGAGCAACGCTGCAACGGTCCAATGCCACGTCGTGGTAGCGCCTATGCATGCTGCATACGACTTGATACGACTGCAAATCGAACGTGTCGCGTCGTGCGATCGGTCACGTGACCGCGCTGCATCTCAACATATGACAAACGAATTCTCAATTTTGGCCATTTGACACTAGCCGTGTATTTCAACTGTAGCCACCCGGATCTATGCCAGGGAATTCGCAGGCCTTGAGCGGCGACGCTTTCTATACAAATACCGGTGCATCTAGTTGTGTCCCTTCGGCTGTAAGGGCACTACATCGGTATCACAGAATCCGATGTTTATTGGCGATGGCATTTTTGTGCATCCCGGCCAGTGACTGTGACGTGTGAGTTGGCGATGTGTCCGCACACCGACATCAGTAGCGTGCGATGTCATCTTGGTTTCGGGTATGTCCAATTTCTCGTTTCGCACGGCATCCAAATTCTTGGCTTTCAAAGAGCTTTACGTTGATATAGCTGAATAAGAAACTCGGTGTTGTAAATAACCGCGGGCTTTGTAGCGAGCGGCGCGACACGCGGAGCGGAGGGCGACTGCGCGCTTCCACTAATTATACATTACCACGTGCTGTTTGTTGTGTCACATCAAGGGCTCAGGCGATTGATCCAATCACCATCTAAAGCGTGTGTTGCAATGTTTAATATTTATATTTTGTTAAAACTGTTACATGGGCGTGGGTATCTATAAAAGTAGCTGAAGCTATATTTATTTGATGCAAATTCTATTTTCCCGCGCTAAAGTTGTTTACTTCTTATCTTATATTTATTCTTGATGCTCTGAATAGATTTTAGTAAATGCTTAGCGGCAATAAAATTGTCAAAACTATACTTATGTTTTTTAGTTTAGTCAAAGCTCTGTAATAGAGTCGATTTAGGGAGTTACTTACTGTTCCTTTGGTAACAGATCCAGTAGTAATGCAGTATTTGGATATTTAAACTAGAAAACATTAAACAAGTTTCTGTAACGTGGAGTTACATTTGTGCTAATGTTGTGTTCATTTCCCATAATAAGTAGTTAGGCTGCAGTTATGGCCGCCGCTGTTTCATGTCCAATGTGGGAGCACATTATTGGCAGTCGATCAAGTCACCGTAATTAGCGTTGAGTGACATAACTGCTCAAGCGCCTAAACAACAATCAGTTAATCGATACTACAAATGTTTACAATCTGATTTAATTGTCGTCGTTTGGATCACAACGAGGATAGCCCGTAGAAAAGTGCCACAACAATGTGTACTACGCACAAATTGATTCAGAATACAAGTGTACTAAACATAGTTGCATGTTTATTTAACAACATTGCAATACGATGTTTCCTCTTCAAAAACATGGTTTTACATGTATTCAGATTCAGAACGACATTATATTTGTTTATGTTGATAAAGATACATCCCTAGAAAACATGCAACGTAGTAGGGTTTTACATTAAGTACAGCACCTGGAATGTTTATGAATACCATTATGTATTTATGTGATCGACTTCTGAACTAGAGTAAAGATAAACATGTGAATGGCAGTGACAATGAAACGTCATGCGTCGATCGCAATCTAGATCTACTGATGCGCGATCGAGGTGCATTACACATTCGCATGTGTTTATATCGGTACAACGTAAACATGCATCTTAATTCCTGGTACATATGTAGATTTACTTTTCCTTATGTACTAAATAAAATATAACACATAGTAATAATTCACATTTGTTAAAGTCAATTAACCCGTCGAGCGTCCGCGTCCCTTATGCATTTCCTTATCCTTATACATGCAAGAAAATGAATTTATTTGGCCATTGGCACACGAAAACAAGGATCATTACAATAGAAATAAAAACAAATACATTCAAAATAAAAACAAAACATGAATAATAAATTTTATAAAAGAGAAAGCAGCATGGAGCATTTTTTCTTATGATCCACCGTGTGCTCATAAGGACGCTCGAGGGGTTAAGACAATATAAGGTATAAAAAACATGCTTAGTTACGCTGAAATACTCAAACGCCACTCAATTATATGTCGCGCTTAAATATAGTTCTGTCACTACAAATTCTTTGTAAAATGACAGAGATGGCACGAT